CACCAGATCTCATTATAGATGGTTGTGAGCCACCATGTGGTTGCTGGGAATTGAACTCATGACCTCTGGAAGAACAGCCAGTGCTCTTAACCTCTGAGCCATCTCTCCAGCCCAATTCTTTGTCTATTATATAAAACACATTACTGGTATATCATATAATCCTACAGGACAAGTTATAGTAGAACGAACTAATTGTACTTTAAAAGAGATGCTTGTTAAACAAAAAGAGAAAGTAAAGACCCTCAGGGACAGGCTAACTAATGCTTTGTTAATTCTAAATTTCCTTAACATTGGTGAAAAAGGAACAGCAGCTGAGAGACACTGGATCATAGAAAAAACTGCAGAACTAAATTAGCACATTTACTATAAGGACGTGTTGCAGAGCGGAAGCCTCCAATAGTTTTGATAGGGACATGGTTATGCTTAAGTATCTACAGGGAATGAAAAAAATATAGTTACCAACAAAACTTTTAAAGATTAGATTTGACCAGAAAAGACCTCCTACTAGCTGAAACTTGAAATTCTTTGCATGGCAAATTAATCTTGATCTGGGATTCTGTAGCCCTACACTTTGGACTGTTCAGTTTTCCTATTAAAAGTAGGTTGGAGAAAGAACACCTAGGTAACCTCAGTCCTAGACACAGGAATATTTTCTGAACTCCCAGTCTGACCTCTAATCCATATCCTTGCCAGAACAACCCAAGCCATGGACTAACTCAATGGGACCATCCTCCTTCTCCTAGGCTCTGCTCTACATTGGACATATTGTTCTTGCGCCTCACAAATACCCCTGACATTAGGAAGGAAGAGCCATTGGGGGTTCAGCTTTCTTCTGACAGCTGTGCTGCATCACACAGGAGCTTCTGAGCTGGCAGTGACCTGGCTGAAGTTCTTCAGCAGAACTTAGAATTCATGTATGTGAAGACCCTGCTTCTTACTGGTTAGGAGATACACTAGGTAATCAAATATGCTGGCTGCACAGGCATGTGGTGGGGATAAGCTCACAAAAGGCCACACTGAGGTAGCTATTAGCTTTTAGTCTTAGCACAAGAGATGGGATACCCAACATGGCTTGAAGACTACTCTTCTCAACCCTGGCCTGGCTGAAATCTAAACTCTGACTATTCTAGGAGGGATCACATTGAACAATTTGGAGAACCAAATTATAGGTCTCCCCTCATAGCATCTTCCCAGAATAGGGAGGAAACAACAAGTGGTTACGTATCCCACAAGGTAGAAGGCGGGGTGGAGGTTGCAGAGGAAAGGACAGCTACTTGTGACCTGTGAGGAGCTACAAAAAATCTAATTGTCAAATTGTCTGCTGAGATATTGGCTGGGTAAAGTCTTCCAAGCCACAGGAATAGTGGAGATTGGACAAGGCTGGCTCACACATTGATGCACATCAGGAGAGGTGACATGGAGAACAAGAATCTCATCCTCAGCACTGACTGTGTGCTAGTAGTGTGTTCTTATCTTGTAGGAATTCAGAGTACCTCTTGCTCTAACCCCCATTCTAACAACCAAAAATGTCTCTAAATATAATTCAGGCCACATTAGGAACTACAGCCCGTGGGCAGGCACAGTTGGGCACAGCTTTAATCCCAGCACTTGGGAGGCAGAGGCATGAGGATCTCTGTGAGTTTAGTGTGATTTATTTTGTGTTCCTGGCCCTTTAAAGGATCCCCAGTTGACTCCATGATCTTCACTGTTGATTGTCTCTAGGACTTCTGGGAACAGGAGAGGATATAATAAACCAGCAGAGGCTGAGAGAGTAGGGTCCAGCTGGCAGAATACGGTTAGAGAAGGCAGTTGGCACAGGAAGATTGAGTAGGGCTAGGGAAGAAGAGATTGAGCAGAGTGAAAACAGGAAACAGTTAAAAGTGAACTAGGGGCTGGGTGGAGGTGGTGCATGTCTGTAATCCCAGCACTCAGGAGGCAGAGGCAGTTCAAGGCCAGCCTGGTCTACAGAGCTAGTTCCAGGACAGCCAAGGCTACACAGAGAAACAAGGTCTCAAACAACAACAACAACAAACAAACAGAACAAAAAAAAAAAAAAAAAAAAAGAAAAGAAAAGTGAATTAGGCTAGCAGTGAGAAGAGAAGGCAGTTGGTGGAACAGATATTGTTAGGAGATGGTTGAGCCAGAGGAAGCTAAGCAAATAGGCTAGAACAGCTGTTGTAGTTTGGAGCTGGTAGGATTGGGAAAACTGGGAGAAGGGACTGTTTAGGCTCACAGTTGTGGGAACTGAGGAAGGAACAGTTCAGAGAAGCCTTTGAAGGGGCTGGGCTGGAAACTGAGGAAGAAGGGCTGACTTGGAGTTAAGAGAACTGGTTACTTTGTAGGAAAAGAAAACATTGCTGGAAGATGCCTCAGTGGTTTCACAACTATCTGTACTAGATCTGATGCCCTTTTCTGGTGTGCAGGTGTACACAGAGATATGTAAACTAAATAAATAAATCTTAAAAAAAAAAAAAACGAAAAAGAGCTGGAGAGGTGGCTCAGTGGTTAAAGCACTGGCTACTCTTCTAGAGGACCAGGGTTCAATCCCCAGCATCCACATGGCAGCTCACAACGGTCTGTAACTCCAATATCTGACACCCTTACACACATACATACAGGCAAACACTAATGCACATAAAATAAAAATCGATGGTTTAAAAGAAAAACACCCCGCACATTTACAAGCCTGATCTACATAGTTAGTTTCAGGTCAGCCAAAACTACACAAAGACCATTTCAACAAACAAACAAACATATACAGACAAAAACAACCCCCCCACACACATTAAAACAAAACAAAACAAAAACACAACAAAAACCAACCAAAAACACACACACACACACAAAAATCTAGCAAAGATTCCGTAGGAACCATTAGGTGAAGTAGCCCAGGGCCTCTTCTTTCCCGCTGGCACACTGGTAGAAACCAGCATGATTGCTGAACCACCTGAATCTGCTGCCATATAGTCCCCCAAGTTCTGGAAGCTTAGCTTCAGACAGGATAATCAAAACCTCGTTTTTTTCCTCTAAAAGGAAGTGTGGGGTGAGCCACCGGGCAGCTTCTGGGCAGGGCTGAAAGGAAATACCAGGAGCAGCTGTGGACAGCCAGAAGTGCCAGCACAAGGCAGGGGCTGCAGGGTTAGGCTTGGTCACAACTCGCCCAGAGAGGGCAGGTTCCACGTGACCAAGCCCTAAGGCCCTGGCCAGAGGACCCCTGTTCCACTCGCCACAGGATTAGCGTTAGGACCCAGACTCAGGAAAAGTACCAGAGCTAGGGAGCCCTGAAAAGAGCTTTCAGGAGCTGCTCTGGTCCTCAGCCAGGATTCATGGGATGCCAAAAGCCCGGCTGCTGCCCCCTTGTGGTCACTAGTAAAAGCACAATGACAGTAGAGGTTTTTAGCCCTTCATCCAAACAGCTTCAATCTCTCAGCAGAGAGCACAAGGCCCTTTTCAGACCATGTCTTTGGAAAACTTTTACTGGTTCACATTTATTGGCAGGGGCCCACCTGGACCTCAAGGGACATCTTGTAGTGTTTGTTTTTAAAACTCTGCTTTATTTGTGGGTAGTTATGCCTCCACCAACCAACCAACTGATGGTGAGTGGGGAGGAAGGGCACAGATCCCTTTACTTCTCTGGGCTGTTTGGCATCAAGGGGTTCTTTTAGGGCAATATCAATCTCCATCAACAGCAAACACGGCTAGCAGACTCCTCCAAGCCGCTGTGCCTGTGTTTCTCTCCGTCTGTCTGCTCCAAACCACCACACCATCTGTTTCTGGTCTCTCCATACTGCTACATGACACAGGCCACCATCACATGCAACACTTTCTCTTTCTGGGCTCTGATATGTATATCCTCAGAGCCCTAGACCACGCCCCTCTTCATGCTGCATGTGGTAGGCCCTTACCAGCTCGCAAAAACAACAAAAACTAAAGTCCCACACCTGGGATTAAAACAAACATATCTTCCTAGTAAGGGGAACAGGAACTATTTCTGACATGAACTCAATGACTGGCTCCTTTACCTCCCCCAACCCCAGGGAGGAACAGTCTTGCTAGGCCACAGAGGAGGACATGGCAGCTAGTCCTGAAGATACCTGATAAGCTAGGGTCAGATGGAAGGGGAGGGGGACCTCCCCTAGCAGTGGACTTGGAAAGGGGCAGGGAGGAGATGAGGGAGGGAGGGTGGGATTGGGAAGGATTAAGGGAGGGGGCTACAGCTGGGATAAAGTAAATAACCTGTTATTAATATAAAAAAATAAAAATTAATAATAAAAATGGGAGAAAAAAATTAAAAAAATAAATATATCAAGCAAACATATTTCTATAACATACCTGAGTTTACAAAGAACCCAAAAGTTCATTACAACATCTGGTTATCAACATCACCTAGTTTCCACCAGAGAGGAGGACACATGAAGACCCACATGTGATAACAGAGGCATGCTCAGGTGCCCTGCTTATACTTAGCTCCTCACACCTTGGTGCACAGGCCCTCCAGGCCCTCAACGGTTCAGAGCATACATTCCTCTTGATACAGGGATACTGGAATCATGAGGGTCTCTACCTGAAGCTAAGACTCTTCCTCAGTAAGTCCTCAACACTGAACTTTACCAAAACACCTTCCTGACTAGTGCTCCCACCCAATGAGGACTACAGAACACAGCAGAGGCTGAGGAGCCAAGAGGAGCTGGGGCATCTGGGAAAGCTGGTACCCATGCCAATACCCTGTCCCTGTGGTCAGATGAGAACCTACCAGGCAACAGGGCAACTTAAAGGGCTCATTACCAATAGGATACCATGTGCCTTCTCTTGGGCAACCAACCCAGCCTTTCCTTTTCTGCTTCCCTACTGAGTCCTCCCAGAGCATCTCTTACCTCATAACCTAATCACCACTCCCCTTAACCCAGGTACCCCTCAGTTCCTATGCCCTCACTGTCTAATCTACCATCATTGAAGCCCACCGTCCTGGAGGCGCTCACAGTGACTCCACAGCACACATCTCTAAACAATGCTGTATTTTCAGAAGGCAGATTAGTCAGGCTGGAGGACAAGGACCAGCCGGAACATGGGCACCCATTAGGCATCCCGGGGCCCTGGGTTCCTGGGATGGAAGTCTCCTTCTACTTGAAGAGAGTTCACACCAGGCCAAAAAAAAGCTCTAGGCCAGCCTAAAATTGAGTCCTTCCAACATTTATTATAATGGGTCAGCAGCAGCACGACGGCCAGAGGAATAGGGTTCCAGGCTTATTTGTTCTTCATGTAGATCTTTGGGGTTTGCCAGTTCCCAGGGGCTTCCTTTAGGCCTGCCTTCAGCCAGATGCGCTTCAAGTCTTTCTCAAACTTGATCTGCAAGTGCAGAAGGAGTAGCCAATTCATTCATAGCAAAGCAAAGGCAAGCACTCTCAACTACTGCCAATCTAGGTCCAACATTCACCTGCTTCTTTTTCAGACGTCCTTCCCGGACTTTACGCCGTTGAAACCGCGTCCTCTTGATCAGTTTACGGTACTTGTGGTGGTTCATCTTCCGTCTTCGGATCTTCAGCACATTTTTGCACTGCAGCGGAGTGGCACCACAGGCATCCCTGACTCCCTCCTGCTCAGCTCCCTCCCTCCCATGAGTAGGTGGACATTTGTAGAACTGGGAGGGAGCCAGAGTCACTGGGCCCTCAGCATGCAGTCTGGGCAGTAGGTACTGAGCAGTCAGCCAGCTCTCCAGCGGACTGATGGCCATCTTCCTAGGGACGAGAAACTCCTCAAGATCTAACTGGGCCCCCTTACCAGGGAGGGAGGCAGCCCGACTTGGGCTTGCAGGCTGCGAACTGTAAAGGGGTCGAAAAACATGGCTGCCAATCACCCCTGATCCAGGCCAGGAACGACTCAAACCTGGGGAAACAACACAGTCGCTACTTATGAGATCACATCAAGTCAGAACACTATTACTACCCAGGCTTGGACAACACGTACACCCTCCTGAAGGCGAACCGGGGCGCTGATTTTCATCTCCAACCTAGGCGCAGATTCCGTGTGCACGGGCCTCTTACCTGTCCGGGGCACAGCCCTGAGAAGCTGTGAAGTCAGGCGAGCGAGGAACATGGTGAGTTGACGGCCAGGCCACAGTGCTCAAAGCTGGAATACAGGTGCCGGTTGAGGTCACACAGCGGCGGTTGGCAGCGCTCTCAGCCAGCGCTGACTGACTCGCCAGGCCCAACGCTCACATCCCACCACCCTGGAAGCCCCTGACCAGCAATGAGGATACATCTTCAAATGTCGCTCTTGGCTTAAATCCCGTCTCTACTTCTCACCACCAGCGCGATCCCTGCAAGCCATCCACCCACGAGTGCTCAGACACCCGAACCCACAGCGCGGGCCAGTACTGACGCTCAAACGCACCAAACAGACGCAGACCACCAGAGTCCCCAAGTGTCTCATCTTTCAAGCTCCCCTATAGCTTGCGACCGGCCGACTCCACTCCGGAAGTTAGGACTGACCATTTCGCGCCTGCTCTTAGGGACTTCCTGTCAGTAAGGGAGAAGGTTCCTCCCCAGCCCAGCGTCCTCTGGCGCCCGATTCTTACGTCAACACGTTCCTTGGGCACCTGCACGCAATCGCTTCCGGTTAGAGGGACCACTCCCTCAGCCCCAGTTCTTCAGCAGCACGTCAGTTCCGGATGAAAAGCAACCAAACCGCTACATCTGCCCACAATCCCGGATAGAGCTCTCTGCGCAAACGTAGCCTTTAACACTATGTTGCTTTGTGGTTGTTGTTGTTTTTCCCGTTGTTTTGTCCTTCCCGGGCCATGTAGCCCCCGGGTACCTCCACCGCCGGTAAGACTGCGGAAGTGACGTTGGAGCCCTCCTGTTAGGGCAGGAAATGGTTTAGAAATAGTCCTGTGGCGATGCTGGCGGCCGAATTGGTCGCGCATAGCTTCCTGAGGCCTCAGGAACCCCGTGCTGTTCCTATCCTTGTACCTCACAGCCACTTCTTCTCCCTAGTCTCAAGTGAAAGAGGACCTAAATTCTATACGGACCTTTCCTAAAGCAAACAAGACCATGCCTTGGGGGAAAAAATAAAAAGGTTCTCACACGTTAGTTTTTATCCGAAAACCTAAAGCACCTTTCGCACAAGAACCTAGTCAACATACCGTACCTTTCTCCCAGAAAAGCCTGTTGGCTCAGATGGACAGGGGCGCCTGCATTAGGAAAGCTCCGTGAAAGGCTACGTATGGATCTCCTTCGTTTGAGGAACTGCTTATGCCGTGCGTGACGAATTTCTGGGTACTCTTAACAAGGCACGCACCTACCTAAAAGTTAGTGGTAGGAGCATAAACAAATATGAGAATACGCAGGCTCTCTTGTCCCAGCTCTGGAACTGAGGTCTCCAGGTGATGCTGTGCGGACCCTACCTTCCAGAGGGGATGCCTGAGATTTCCAAACAGGAAGGGCTTAAGTCTTTCCTAATGGTGGTGTGAGAGGCACAGTGAGCACACATTAGAGGTCAGAGAACAACTCTGGGGAGTCAGTTCTCTTCCATCTTCAGGGTTCTGATTCATGTTGTTAGGCTTATGTGGTGAGGTGAGCCATCTCCAGTCGCACTATCCCAAACAGGAAGATTGATGCACATTAGAGTATCTTAAAGTTTACACACTCTCCCACTGGGTTTAGCCACAAAAGGCGAAATGGTTCCCTCTAGACTCCAGCCTTCACCTTGGTGCTCCCAGTCCTCAACATGGTCAGCTGTTATTTCCAGTTTCTGGTCTTCTTCAGGAAGGTGAGAAAAGCCATTCTTGTTAAGATCCCTATACCTTGCTGGGCCATGGCAAGCAAGTGCCTTTAATCCCAGCACTTGGGAGACAGAGGCAGGTAGATATGTGAGTTTGAGGCCAGCCTGGTCTACAGAGGAACTGTCTCAAAACAAACAAACCTGTATCTCAACAGGCCCCAGGCCAAATCAGAGAAGTGCCCAACTAGGGCAGGGCAGCTGCTTAGCCATGGTAGTAATGAAACATGGGCACATAGCTGTGACACGGACATTTGCACTGCTAGTCTGAGCCAACCTTGCCAAGGCAGACTGGAACTACAAAAGTCAGTCCTTCATAAAAACCTGAAGAAAAAGCACTGGTGGGGCTGAAGAGATAGCTCAGCAGTTAAGAGTACTTCCAACTCTTACCAGCACTTGGGAAGTAGGGTCAGGCAGAGCTCTGAGTTCAGGGCCAGCCTGGTCTACAGAGTGAGTTCCAGCATAGCCAGGGCTGCACAGAGTAAGTCTAAAATAAAATAATAAAATAAAATAAAATAAAAAATTAAAAAAATAAAATAAATAAAATAAAATATATAATAAAATAAAATAAGAGTACTTCCCACTCTTCCACAGGATTTTAGTTTGTTTTCAATACCCATAGACCATGGTGTGCTTCCTCAGGGAGCAGAGGAAGGTGATCTCCAAGTTCAAGACTAGCATGGTCTACATAGCAAAACCCTGAGTAGATTTGGGGGAAGGATAAAGGAACATGCAAGGGTGGCCAAAGGAAGGCCCACACTGGAGCCTGTCTGTATTGCAGCATATGTTGAAGAGCTCTAGTACTGGGTCACAGAAGCCAAATACTGACTGGTTTATACCAGGCAGGGTACCTGTCTTAAGCCTAATGGCAGAGTGCTGGCGACAGCACATCTTATCCTAAAACAATTAATTGTGAAGATTGTCTATTTTTAAATTATTATTTTTAATTTACAAAATGTATGCATTGTATGTTTTGCCTGCATTTATGTACATACACCACCAAGTTCATATTTGGTGTCAATAAAGGCCTGGAAAGGGCATTGGATCCCCTGAAATGAGAGTTACAGGTGGTTGTGAGCCTCCCATTGTGGGTGTTGCAAACTAAACTTGGGTCCTCTGGGGAAGAGAGACACCAAGCCATCTCTCTAGCTTTTATTATTTTGCTTTATAAGATTTTTAAGGAGCCCAGTCTGCCTGAAACTGTGTAGCTCAGGATGACCTTAAACTATTGCTCCTCCTGCCTCTGGAGTACTAGAATGGGAAACATGTCCCACTAGACCTGGCTTAGGCAGGGATTAAACCTGGCTTTGTGCATGCTAAGCAAGCATTCAACTGCAGCTGAACATATATATAGGACCATGTTATGTTCCTGGCGTAAACTCCAAGTGATTGCCTACCTAGGCTTTGAAGTAATCTTTTGTAACTAATCAGTGATTGTTATCGAGATTTATGGAATTGGTTTCCCTATAGGAGCTTAAGGCAAACCAGGTAGTCTCGTAATGGCTGAGGAATTCTTAGGTAATTAAAAGTTCCTGTATGTAGAGTGACTTGTTAAAAGACACATTTGTGTAACAATCAATAAAAACACTTCTGCGATGCTGTGATTCTGACCATTCATTACATCCTCCTTTTACCAGCATCTGGCACCCAATGGGGTCAGATGCTCCAGAACTGAGGAGCATACTCACAGGTTAAGTGAGTTTGCAGGATTTGGTAGAACTATGGGGAATATGGGGAATTTCTCATCTCAGGGATTGGCAACATGTGCAGTTGCTAAAATGCTTGCTAAGCCAGGTGTAGTGGCACACACCTTTAATCCCAGAGCCTGGTAAGCAGAGGCAGAAGGAGTGCTGTGAGTTAGAGGCCAGCCTGGTCTTCAGAGCCAATCCAGGACAGCCAAGGCTATGCAGAAAAACTCTGTCTCAGAAAAAAAAGGAAGAAAAATGTTTGTCAAAAGGAAATGGAGTAAAGTGAAATACAGAAAAAAATGTATCTAGCTTTTAGTACTAATTAAACAGCATTACTATTGGTTTTAGGCAACTCTTCATGTTCAATTAAAATTGAAGTATGAAAGCTTTGAGGTAAGCTCACACGGAAGAAGCTATACCATTAAAGATTGGTCTTTATATGTATTAATTTCCAATGCTCTGGGGCTGCTGTGAAGAGTCAGAGAAGGCCCTGTGGGCTCTCCTAAAAATATCTTCTGCCCCAACTGTCTTCTCTAACTTTACTAGCCCAATTCTCTATCAACTGCCTTTTTTCTCACTTTACTCAATCTTTCTTCTCCGTACCTGCTGGCATTTTATATCCTCTCCTGTTCCCAGAAATCCAAGAGGCAATCAAGCAGTTCTAAGGGCTAAGAATTCCCAAAGGCCAGTTGACTTGCAACTGGGCATCCTTAAAAGGGCCAGGCACACAAAATAAATCACACTACATCTATTAGATGTGGGACAAAGAAATAGGAAGGAGGGCATTCTGGCCAGGAATTGTCAGTGTGCAGAAAAGAATATTGTCTTGTAGGAAGATGAAAATGTTGTTTCAGAGGAAGATGCAAGGAGTGTTGAGACACTATAGATGAATCAGATTTAGAAAAGTGAAAAGTTGAAGCATTAACTGCACAATTGCAAAAATTACAGATGCAGGTAGAAAAGCTCCAGAGACAAAGAATAAAAGAAGGAAAACGGATCTTCCCAGTAGAAAAAAGGGATCAAGAACCTACAGAACCTCCTTATGAATATACTGAGGAATGGCTTCCTACGGTCATAAAGACAGGCCTCAGGTGTTTCCAGTTACTATGTAGCAGATGCCTGCAAATAACCAGTATCTTCAAGGTTATGTTCTGATTAGTTGGAAACACACAGAAATAACAGATCTGAGGTGACTAAGGAAGCAGTGGTGGTAGAGGGAAGGCATTTACCCTATGGAAGAGATTTTAAATAACTTGGCTACTCAGAATTATTCAGAAAGATAGGAAGGAATTAATAGCAGCTGGAACTCAATGCTCTCTAGAGACAAGCTGCCTGTCGGCCCATTCTGTCCAGGACCCACCAGTGCAAGCGGCAACACCTGAGTTCCAAAGAATGCCAAGAGGGGCTCCAGTGCTGCAGCACGACCAGCACAGCTGGCCCAGAACTTTCACTATCAATGATCCCTTCAATGGGAAAAAAAAAATTAAAACAAGCTTTTAATTGTTTAGATTGTTTCTAGTATAGAAACAATCAAACCAAGTCCTAAAAGTTCTAACCCAACCAACACTGTTAAATTTCCAAAGGTATTAAGTCATTCATTACATGGAATCTTGATCATCTAATTAATGCTTAATAGTAAATAAACTGAAAGAACAAACTTCATAATTTTGAACTATGTAATTGGGTATGCTCTGTTGCAGAATATTGATCCCATTGTGAACCCCAAAACTGTGAACGTAAAACCCTGTTTCTTTGGTGTGGATGAGCCCTGTCACACACCTTTAATCCAAGAACTTTCTGTTTATTGTAAACTGCTAATTGCGGTGTGGTTCAGCCAGTCCTATCACACACTTTAATCCAAGAGCTTTCTGTTCCCTAGGTCAAGAGGCAGAGAAAGTAACTGACAGGGATTAAAGAGTAGGAGGGACTTTGAGGGATATATAAGAAAAGGCTTTTGGCTCAAGCTCTGGCTAAGCTTAGGCTTCAGATCCCTGGCTTCTTGGGCTTTGAGCTAACAAGCCTTTGGCCTTGGGTTTTTCTGGCCTTTTCCTCCTGGGCTATCAGTTGAGCTAGTGAGCCTTTTGGGTTTCTTCCATCCAGACCTGAGCTGAGGTCGGTCGGTCAGCTGGGTACTTTCTCTGCCTCTGAGCAGCAGGTTTTCATCCCGGCATTTGGCTCCTGAGTCTTTATTGGTAAAACAGAATGGTTGGGATTGTCCTTTTAAACAACATGCTCTTATCTGTTTATCACTACTGAGAATTTGGCTCTGCTCTTCAAGTTGCTTTCTAAAAACTCTTGGTTAAATTCTATAAAAAGGTAACACCTGAGAGAGAGGAGGCATTGGCTTATTAAATAATGTGGCTGCTAAGGCATTAGCAGCTCACAGAAATGTATCTTAATGATAAAAACCTACACCCGGTTTTTACAAAGATTACTTCAAAGCCTAAGGGCACTATCACTTGGGGTTTATGCCAGGCACAATGGCTTTATCAAATTTCCCACCACACACCTTCAATCCCAGCACTCAGGAGGCAGAGGCAGGCTGATCCCAGCCTGGTCGACAAAATTGGTACCAGGACCAGAGCTGCATAAAGGAATCTTGTTTCGAAAAACAAAACAGAGCAAAACAAGATTTCTTACTATATTCCTCAACCTCACTTTTTATTTATTTGAGACACGGTCTCACTATGTACTCTCCTGGAACACACTATAGAGACTCAGAGATCCACCTTCCTTTGTCTCCTGTGGGATTAAAGGCTTGTGCCACCCCTCTGCCTAAACACAAACCTGTAGGTTTTAATAAACCCATAACCCTCAGACTGGAGCCCTGCAGCTGTACCTTGATGTCATATCTTCTTTCCTGTTGCCCTCCCGAAAACAGCCTTTCAACTCTAAAGGGCAGATTGTTTCAGGAAGGCACAGAGCTCAATACAAAGTCTAACATTTTAATGAGAACAGGGAGAGCAAGGACCAGGGAATATATAGCTCCTGCTTCCCTTAGAGTAGCTAAACTGGCAGTGCACAGCGGCACACAAATACGTCCACTAGGCCTCAGGCCCATAGCCAAGTCCCACAAATGCCCCTGAGAAAACTTAACAGAATGACAGCCCACAAAGCCTTGTATAACGAGTGTCCTGAGGATCTTGTTTATTCAACCAGTAAAATTTCTCTAGAGCTGGTGGCCTGCACTCAGCCTGCACAGATAAAAATATATGGCTTTCAACACAGACCTAAATACCTTCACATTTTAAAAATGAGAATTCTCTATACAAGTGTTAGGCTAACAGAATTCAAAGTCTGAGTTCTCATATATAGCTTTCACTTGTATTAAACACATGTTTATTTACAACGTGAATAGAGTACAAGGGGGCTATTAAGGCCATTTTCTTATTGTGAAACACTGCAAAATATGTACACAAGTACAACCTAATATAGGCAAAGATTTAAAAAAAAAATCATCTTTCTTGGCTTAACGTAATTGAGTATCAGTTTAAAAGTGAAGAGACAGCTTGTCAATAGCACCAAGCCACGCAAATGGGGACGTATGCCTTTGCTGTTCCATCCAGCTACCTGAAGGTCCACAGTTGAGGTGGACAGATGTGCAGCGCGCCCCAGGCCAGCCTGAAGGGTACCTTGCTCACTGTCCGGTCAGTTAAATTCACATCAAGGTCCAATCAAAAACACTTTCAAAAACATCATGCTACAAGGCCACTGAAGCCAAGGTGTGCCCAACAGGGAGGGACCAAGGTAGGCACCAGGGACTCCATCTCACCTCCGATGCCTGCTGTGTCCTGGGTGGTCTCTCTCATAGTGATGGCCTGTGCGCTCATATGACCTGGAGCGCTCCTGTCTTTGGTCTCTATAGTAATGACTTTTCTTCTTGTATTTTCCAGAATTGTCTGTCCGTTCTCGTGACCGGCTTCGAGAACGAGAAGAGCTCCGGCTACTAGACTTGTGTGGTTTCTGGGTGAGATACTTGCAGTCCTTGGATTTCCGGGTGCCCCTCACTTCTGGGCCTTTGTAGGGAGCACCACGGTGTACCTGCCTGGGAGGAGAGTCACTGCGGCTCCGAGAACGACTCTGTGACTTGGACCCACCTGAGGTAGAGCCACTATCACTTTTCCTGTGGAGAGGAAAACATACTTGTGACCACAGTCAAGCTTAACAAAGCAGAGGAGCTGGCAAAGGGCCTCTTTTTTTATGTTAATTTTAAGAAAGGGCTTCTCTGTTTTGTCCTGATTCTTTTTTTTTTTTTTTTTTTTTTTTTTTTTTTGTCCTGTACTCACTTTGTGCTGGGATTACAGGCATGTTCCACCAAGTCCAGCTGTCCTAGTTAGTTATACTAGAATTCACTCTGTAAACCAGGTTGGCCTCAAACTCAAGAGATCTGCCTGCCTCTGCTTCCTAAAGCTGAAACTAAAGGTGGTGCCACTATCCTCTTCCTGGCTGCAAAGGAACTCTTTTAAGTTCAGAAAATGAAAAAACACAACAGGTTAAGAGCCACTGTCCCACTGGGTGCCTGCCTTTAATCCAAGCACTTGAGGGGTAGAGGCAGGAGGATCTCTTGAGTTTGAGGCCAGTCTGCTCCACAGAGAGTTCCAGGAACAGCCAGGACTCCACAAAAAAGAAACCGTCTCAACAATAACAACAACCATAAAGCAGGGCTGCAGAGATGCCTCAATAGTTTAGAGCACTGGCTGCTCCTCCAGAGGGCTCAATTCCAGCACTCATCTGGCAGCTCACAACTGTCCATAACCCACAGACATATATGCAGGCAAAACACCAATGCTCATAAAATAAAATAAATTATTAAAACAAATAAAAAAGAAAAAGGATTCAAGGCCAGACTGATCTACTGAGTTCTAGTTTGACAGCCAGGGCTACAGAGAAACCTTGTCTCTTAGAACAAACTAAAATAAATAAATAAATGAATAAATAAAGGAGCCAGTGTCTCCCCTATCCTAAGAGACTTCTGCCACCCCTAATAACCTGAGGAAACACCAGGTTAGAGCCTTACGGGTAAGCCTCAGACACAGACCTTCTTTTTGGAGAGGCAGACCGTGATGGGGACCTTGAGCAGCTCTGCTCACGACTCCTGCTTTGGCTTCGACTCTCCTGTCCTTTCAGCAAGCTGCAAACAGGAGGAGCGCAGTAGTTACAGACCTGGGGTGTCTTCAGGTTTCAGTGTCTACCTAGACAGAAATGAAGTGTCTTACCCATTTACAGGACTGTCAGCCTTGGCTTTCTTTGGGCCCTCCACTTTCCGTTTGGCATTCTTCACAGAGACTGGGGAAGACTTGTTTCCTTTACCTTCTTTGGGGGATTCTATTGAATCAAACAAGAAATTAAAAACCATAACCAGAATTTCTTCAATAAGAAATACACTGAAATATACTAGCAATGCAAGACAAGACCGTTTGCTAACTAACCTGGGACCCAGAATGAAAACATACACAAAACACAGAAATTCTTTTGATCAGACTAATTTTCCTCAGGGCCCAGAACATACTCTATGTTCTAACAATATAATCATAGACTCTAACTTTAAAATTTTAGTCAGATGACAAGCCAACTTGGTAGAAATGGTAAAAAACAAAACAACAACAACAACAAAAACAGCGTTTCAGAAAGGCTGTGCATATTTAATATAAAAACAAATTCTTTAGGGCCTGGCCTCCCTGCCTTATTTTAAGGATTACCAACAGACTGCTAAGGATTCTAGTACCACTGTAGTGTTGAGATAAGCTGCAGGCTCAACTCCAAGACAGCTGAAGTACATACACCAACACTAAAAGTCAGAAGGCCACAGACTGCTACCCTTCATGGGGAATAAACCCTGGACACTCACCCAGCCTGGGAGCAGGTGAGAGCCCTGCAGCACCGTCCAGAACTGGAACACTCGCTGGGAGCAGGCCCCTCGCTCGTGCTTTTGCCTCTTCAATGGCATGTTTTCTCTTCTCCACTTCACTTTCTAGGTGTGTCAAATCAACCTGAAAAGCCAAAACTACCCATTCAGAACCAGATGCTTCTGGCCAAACACAAGTACATAATCCACACAAAAATACACAAAGGAACCTTTTTCCGTGTGTAAAGCTGCAGGATTTTAAAGCAAATTTCTTGAATTTCTTCTTCAGTTGCTCCAAACAAAAGAAACCAATGTGGACGATTGGGTAAAGGAATCTGTGAACACAAATGTTATCATGTTACTTTTCTTAAAAACTCTAAAGCTAGAGATCTGGAGAGATGGCTCAGAGGTTAAGAGAACTGGCTGTTCTTCCAGAGGTCCGGAGTTCCATTCCCAGCAACCACATGGTGGCTCACAACCATCTATAATGAGATCCGGTGCCTACTTCTGCAGTGCAGCTGTACATGCAGGCAGATTGCGCACATGATAGATAAATAAATCGTAAAAACAAAAACAAAAACAAAAAAAAAAACCTCTAAAGCTGGGTGTGGTAGTGCACACTTTTAATCCTAACACCCAGGAAGCTCAAAAAACCACCAACAATAACAAAACACTTCAAGGCCAATAAAATTCTTAGGGTGAAAATGGCCTGCCAGTTACCAAGAAATTCTGTTGCAAATGAACCTAGTTTGACAAATATACTTAACATTTACCAGAGACTGGAGAAATGTCTAGAATACATACTAACACCCAGGCAGCCACATACTTACCTCCAGTGTGCGTGCAGCGAGGTAGATACAGGCACAAGCAATGCTCTCGGGCTGGAACCGAACAAAAACATCTGTGCGAAGGCTGTCATTCATGTAGTTCCTGAAACCAAGACCAAGAAGATTATAATGCTGTGGGCAACTATGCTACCACCTGTTATCAAAGGTTGTTATTCCTAAGGGTTCTACACTAGGACTGTGCTAGGTACTCTGGAAATCTCCAGAGATAACAGGGGACACTCTGAATGCATGAAGAAATCACTGGGGGGTAAAAGCTGGCTGAATGTCAGACAATAAGTGTTGCTATGAACGAGAACCAACTTTAACTTTACTTTTCCTTCTATGTTTGACCTATCATGCAAAGCACAATGCTTGGAAAGAAAATGCTACGTAGTAGTTAAAATGTAATTGACTTAAGAAATCTAAATGTTCAAAATCCATAGTGCAGAGAAACATGCAAACTCAAATGAGAAGGCTGAGCATGAAGCCTCGCAACTGTAAGAAAAGCTGTCCTCCTGTGCTCCTTTTCTTCAGGCAGCATTTGTGGCCTGGTCCTTCTCCAGACGAGTGAGCTGCAGCTCCAGGGAGGGAGTCCACTTGGGAAAGAGAAAGGCCCTTGGGTGCGGTTCGGATGCATGGGCACATCATGCAGAGGAGGCCAACACCCAAGGGAATCCTCTTCTTGGGCTTATCAAAGAACGTTTCCAAATCCAAACTGTCCCATTTCAACAAGGAGTCTTAAAATGAACATTCATAAAAATCAGACAAAAGCAACAAAACTCTAAAAGTGGCATCAAACTAAGTACACTTAAAAATGCTATAATATTCCAGAAAATATGTAAGTACAAAACTTTACACTTTTAGAAAAATTAAAGGTCTTTTAAAATTTGTTTCATCTTCAACATTTTCTTTATATATTTCTTTAAAATTTATAGACTACAACCAAAGAGTATACTGGCTTTATCAACATTGCAAAAAGCATTCATGAGAAAACACGCCAACAGGTTATATATACACTGCCCAACATATCCAATGATACAGCATACCCTAATGTCAGGCTGTAACATGTATGAGAAATTTAACTGCCTCCACCCAGTAATTTTGCTATAAAACCTTGGAGAAGGTAACATTCAAACCCACTCTGACATTCTAAACAATAAATTCTACAGATGCCTATAAGAGGCAGCTGGCCCAGGAAGCAAAGCTCTACACATCAGAAGGAGAGTCAGAATGGTACCAAAACTACCCATCTCCCAGGAGCCAAAGTGTTGCTAAACATTTAAACATTCACAAATATATCCAACAATAACTTTATCACTAATAAGAGAGGCCTAGTATTGAAATATATTAATCCATTAACTTTAAATTCTAAAAACAAGTGAAGTCCTTTAAAGGTATATTTAAACTTAATGCTACATTTAATATAAGTTACAATAGTTTAATTTAAAGATGCACACCTTTCCTGGAATGAGTCCCAATTAAGCTGCTGAAAGAGCAACTTCAGGGCTTGAGAGAAATAATGACAGGATCCAGTAACAGTCTGAATTCCCACCATGCCATTTTGTCACTTCAGTTCTTACAGCTTTCTAAACTTTTTTTCTTAAAGGTACTGCATCTTTATTGCACAGGTACAGCAGTTTTAAAAGAACAAAATTCAAGACAGTTATCCGCTCTAATTGATACAATTACCAAGTACGACAGGATTAACAAGGAGCACGATCGTCAGAGAACCACAAGCAGCAGTGGGCCATGACTATACTATTGGGTGCGCATACCACCAGTCTAGAGCCTTCGGTGGAGAGCCTGCACTGGGTTGGCTGAAGACGGCCGCTGGCCCTGCACCAAAGCGCTTGGACAGCAGAGGAGAAGTCTTAGTCACTTACCCTCAGAGGCTACCCTTTGATTGAAAGAGTACAGAAAAGAAAAGTCAAAATAGGTTCTCTATAAAGCATGTCATAGCACCAGACAATTCAGTCAGCAATATGACCCCTACAGACTTAATTCTGTGGGGAAAAATATATCCCAATACAAAACTGTCACTTCAGACTTCATTCTAGCCATATGCCTGCTAAAACCAACCCAGGACTGCAGCAAACCCCATCTTCCCTTCCCTCAAGGGATACAATTCCCTGGAAACAACAGCACTGAATTCTGTGGTTTGTACTATCACCTTATAACGTTCCTATGCCCTGCTGACAAACCCCAGAGGGACGCCTACTGACTGCTCTCCCAGATTGGGAGCAGTGAAAACACACAGGTGGGAGTGGATGGGGCACCTACCGTTAAGCTGTCCCTGTCATTGGGGAGGCTGCTGGGTGTTTAGAGGGCAGATCACTAGGCGCTGGGACAATTCCACCCCATAGGCAAGTCGTGGGATGATAACCCACTGCCCAAGTGCTCAAGTAATGCATTCCTGAACTGCCTGCCCTGCTGCTCTCGTGAGACAAGGAAGGTCAACTCACCATGCAGTCTGGACCAGGTGCTGGTTACGCTCACACTCTAACACCTGAAGGTACATAACGATTATCTGGAAGATATGGGTCAGACAGTTATTACCAGAAACTACAAGATCAAGGAACTCAGATCTTGGGGTCCATGCAGCAAAAGAACCTCAAGCTAAACCCCAGGGTGCTTGCTCCTGGTGACGTCCAGCAGACAGCTCAGCTTTTGTGATGTGCTTGCTACCTGCTTTTATACTTCGGCAGAGTACATATATGAAAACCAAGGTGCACCCTATAGCACTGAAAGCCTTGTTTCCCATGTGGCTCATTTCCATTCTCGTTGACACCACTTTTACACCAATGAGATTAGCCTGCCCTACACAGCCCTCTATCCCAGCAGCCAACTTGCACAAAATAGGAAAATAACATTAAACACATTAAGAAGAGCACTTAAAATAGTTAGTGGACAATTTACCAAGAATTTGTGTTTGTTTTTCGAGACAGGATGTCTCTGTGTAGCCTTGGCTGTCCTGGACTCACTCTGTAGACCAAGCTGGCCTCAAACTCACAGAGATCCACCTGCCTCTGCTTTCCAAAGTGGTGGGATTATAGGAATGTACCACTGTATCTGGCTCAATTTACCGAGAATTTAATACCTCAAATAAGCAAGAGAAGATGGTCGCAGAAGTCAACACTGGCTTGGTTTGGTTTGTTGAGGCAGGGTCTCATTATGTGGCTCTGGCTGGACTAGAGCTCAAAATGGAGAACAATCTGGCCTCAAACTCAGATCTGCCAGGCTTTTGCCTCTAAAGTGCTAGGATTAAAGGTGTGCAGCACTAAAGTTTTTAGTTTAGCTAAACTAGGTAAGACAGCCATGAAAGAGTACAATAAACTCACTTCTACTTAGCATGTGCTAGAGACTTTTTTGGTTCATTTTGAAATAAAAGAATTCAGAATTCTTCCTGTTCTTCCACAAAACATATCAAAGCTATTACTAAAGTAACTTTTAAAGGTTAGTTCTTAAGGGCTACAGATAGCTCAGTCAGTAAAGTGCTTCACAATCCCTTGGAAACATAAAAATGCTGGGTGTGACAGCTGATGCTTATTTTGTTTTTTGTTTTTTTTTTTAAATTTCTTATGTATAAAATGTTCTTTCTGCATGTACGCCTGCACCCCAGAAGAGGGCATCAGACCTCATTATAGATGGTTGTGAGCCACCATGTGGTTGCTGGAATTGAGCTCAGGACCTCTGGAAGAGCAGCCAGCGCTCTTAACTTAACTCTGAGCCGTCTCTCCAGCCCTGGTTTTGTTTCTCAAGACAGAGTTTCTCAGAGATCCGCCTGTCTCTGCCTCGCGAGCACTGGGATTAAAGGTGTGTGCTACAACACCCAGGGCGGCTCACATTTTAAATACCACGACTTGGAAAGTAGAGCTCTGGAGACAAGAGCATCTCAGGGCTAACTGGACAGCCAGTCTAACCTAAAGGGGGGGGGGGGGTTGGGGAGGGGTGTCCAGGCCAACAAGTGCGCCTGTCTCAGGATACACTTGGCAATTTTCCTTTCTGCTCCAAAACGTACTTGCACACACATGCACTGAAAAAGGGGAGGGGAACAAGAGAGATGGCTCAACTGCCTCTTCTTCCAGAGGTCCTGAGTTCAAGTCCCAGCAACCACATGGTGGCTCATAACCATCTATAATGAGATCTGGTGCCCTCTTCTGGCCTGCAGGCACACAGGCAGGAAAAATACTGTATAAATAAAAAATAAATAAACCTTTACCAAAAAAATTACTGCTAGCTGGGAGTGATGGCACACATTTGTAATTCCTTCACTTGCAGAGGCAAAGAGAGTTTGTTGAGTTTGAGGCCAGACTGGTCTACACAGAGTCCAGGACAGCCATGGCAACACAGAGAAATCCTGTCTCAAAAAAAGCAAAAAAAAAAAAAAAAAAAAAAAAAATTTACTGTTAGGCAGAGCTAGGGATGGCTCAGTGAAGAGTACTTGACAGCTCTTCCAGAGGTCCTGAGTTAAATTCCCAGCAACCACATGAGGGTTCACAACCATTTGTAATGGGTCTGATTCGTACTTCTGGTGTGCATGAAAACAAGAGCACTCATATCCATAAAATACACAAATACCTGGAACTCACTATGTAGACCAGACTGACCTTGAACTCAAGAGATCTGCCTGCCTCTGCCTCCCAAATGCTGAGACTGAAGGTGTATGCCATCACACCAGGCTGGCCTCCTACTTAAAATATAGCTGAACATGTCTTTGAACTCACCTTCTTGCCTCCAAGACAGGAAAGAAAAATATATGTTAATGAATTTAACTTCTAATTTTACCACTTGAAGATCTAAAAACCCAGCTCTAAAAGTCACCATTTCAAAAACTCTTACATTAAATTATAAAAGGTTGATAAAGGACTTAAATCAAGTTCTAGGCATGAACAAGAAAACCAAATGAGAGGAACATTCAGTATCTTCAAGGCCTTCACTCTAGCACACAGTGCAAGTCAGCTGAAGTATGGCCTGGGTGCTGCAGGTGCCAAACTGAACCCACCTTGTGAGGGTGCTTCACATGGACACAGAAGCCCAGTTCCTTAAGAACCCGCCTTTCTGCCTTTATAATCTGGTTCTTTAAATTAACATACTCTTGATCCAGCACTAGAGGCACAGGTTTCCTGAAAAGACAAAGCGTACGTTCTGTATCAGGACCAATTAAACAAAATCAGATTGTACAACTATTTACAAGTGATAAATACCACAGTACCAAAAAGCTACAAATTTCACTTCCTTTACCAAAACTGCAGAACCTTACTTCTAACCTACATATACTTACTACTAACCTGACCCTGGTCTCTATACATAAACAGTATTCTAGTGTATCAACACATCTCTTGAACATGGTGGAGGGTCTCAGGAACTCTGCATAAGTGCTACATAAAAAACATGTCAAACTAAAGACAAAAAGATCAAGTTTTCTGGGAAACCACAGCATCAATAAAGCACAATAAAGTCCTCCCTCAGTATACACTGGGGCTGGTCCCTTGACAACTTTCTCCTAACTATTACCTATTAATGAGCTGGGTGCAGTGGCACACCTCTGTGAGCTCTGTACTCTGGGAGGCAGAGGAAGGTAGTGCTCTGTGAGTTCGAGGCCAGCCTGGTCTACAAAGTGATTCCAGGACAGCCAAAGCTACACAGAAAAACCCTGTCTCAAAAACCAAAACAACAAAACCAAAACCTACGAATGTTCAAGTTCCTTATACAAAATGGTGTAATATCCCCATAGCACTTATATATAGCCTCTGCAAACTTCAAATCATGTTTAGGTACTTTATAATGCCCAGTACAATATAAATGCTACACACACATAAACGTGCTACTGTTGTTTAAGGAAAAGTAACAAGAAAGTCTACACATGTTCAGTATAGATACTGATTCCACCCTCTACTCCACAGCCTCCACCCAAGTCCAAGTATTTCCAAGAACTAGTTGAACTGAATGAGAAAGCTGCAAATTTGTCTGACAGACTTCTGAAAGAGAAAGCCCAGTTCATGTTTTAAAGGGCTTCTGTTAAGCTGGGCATGGTGATATATTCCTTTGTACCAGCACTCCGGAGGTAGAGACAGACCATCTATATGAACAAGAGCAGCCTGGTCTATATAAAGCTCCAGGCCAGCTAAGGCTACATATTAAGACTCTGTTTCAGAACAAAACAAAAACCAAAGGACGTCAGTGAAGGAAAAAAAAAAAAAAAAGTCTGGGATAAGGTCTAGAGCATTAGTCCAAACCCAGGACCAATGGGTTCTTGTGTGGATGCTTTCTTTTTAAATCTTGTACAGGGACTGTGTAGTCAATTTCCTCCTGGGTATCAACCCAGCATGTATGTTCTTGAAAATTTGTGTATTTGTTTGGTATGTGGGTTGTCCCTGTGGAGGTCAGAAGACAACCTGCGGGAGTCAATTCTCCCTCCTACCACATTTATCCCAGAACTGAATTCAGGTTGTCAGGCTTGGTGACAAGTACCTTTGCCTACTGAGCTACTTCCTTACTGCTTTTGTATTTTATTTACTTTTGAGATAGGATCTTCCTGGTTCGTGGCTTTTTTGTTTTGGTTTTCTTGGTGTGTGTGTGTGTGTGTGTGTGTGTGTGAGAGAGAGAGAGAGAGAGAGAGAGAGAGAGAGAGAGAGAGACTTCTGTATTCCAGGCTGGCTTACATAGCTTTGATGGACGACCCTGAATGCACCTGACCCTCCTCCTGTCCCCACCTCTCTCTCACAGGATTACAAACCCTTCTCTCCACTTCTGACTTGCTCCAAGGGTGGGTTGTTGTTATTTATTTTGTTGTTTTTGCTGGACAGGGTTTCTCTGTGTATACCAGGATATCTTGCAACTCTGTAGACAGGGCTGACCTCAAAGTCAGGAGATCCTCCTTCCTCTGCCTCCTGAGTGCTGAGATTAAAAAATTGTGCCTCCACACCAGCTCTCCGTGGGTGTTTTAAAAGACAGTGTTTGGAGAAAAGCACGGTGGCTCACACATATAATCTGAATACAAGGAAAATTGAGATGGGACCGCTAAGATGCTGAGACCAGCCTCACTACATTCCAGGCCAGTTACTGCTACACAAAAGGGCTAGATATCAAAAGAGATAGTTGTCTATGGATATTTCTGTTACAAACAGTTTCTGCAAGGAAAGACCAGGAAAACTGTCAACATGTTACAATGCTAAGGCAATTCCCTTTACAAAGAATCACCAGTTCAGACACTGACAGTGCTGAGGGTGAGAGCCAGGGGTCTGGGGCCTGGAGGTTCTGAGTAGAACCATGGAACAAACAGAACAATAAGGTGAGGAGCTGATGTGGTCATACAGGAATTGTTCCAGCAGGGCTACAACAGCCAGCTATCCCGATTATTGTGCTACCCTAGCACTGCCCCAAGACAGTACCTGGGGCACTTAGGAACAAACTACTATAAATCCTAAGGTTGGTATAACAATGACAGACATTTACAACAGCTCTGGAAAGGACTCACTTTTTTTCTCTCAGATGCCGAAGGCGATGGAATACATTGATGACATCCCTGATTCGTCTTGGAGCCTCTTCTATTTTGGAAGCCAGGTGAACACAAGCCATGGACACATGCTGAAATGTACACGGAACACAAGTGTTTTCCCCCCAACCTGAGAAACTTCCAAGGCATTAAAACTATGAGGAGCAACCAGAAGGTACAGAGACAGGCCTCCAGGGAAAGAGCTATGTATTGACTTTTGAGGTCAGTTGACTAGTGGACAGAACAAACCAGGTTTCCTCCCAATTCATTTCTCTGATAAAACAGAAAGAAGCCTACCTCCATGGAATGTTTCACGAAAGACTTAGTGTAAAAGAACCGCTGGAACAACACCTGCCCTGTCGCCATGGCCACCTAAGGATGGAGAAGGTTCCATCACTTTTGAAACCAGGACTCAAGCCTGTCCCGGCTGGCATGTCTTGTCTTGTATGGTTCCCCCCGACAAACACCCACAACAGTTTCAATTTCCCAAAGGACTTCTGTCTCCCGAGGCTTTCCTGGGGGTAAAAGGGCCTTTCGCCCGAGTACGGTGGGGGAGGGGAAGGCCAAGCGCGGGCCCCGCTCCAAGGCGGTGAGCGGCCCCGTTTGAGGCACGGGCTCAGGAGGCTTGTGTGAAACTGCGGAGTGCTCCAGGCTCCGACCTCAGCGGGCCCAGGTCCGCTTGATTCCGGACACGGGTCAAGGCGACAACAAAGGTCCGGCACTCTCGGCCGGCCGGTGAACGGTTGTCTGCAAAGCTCGCGGCCGCGTCCTTACCTGCGGTAGGCGGAGCAGGATGCCGGCTGCCTGGATGAGCTCGCAGCCCACCACGCGGAGGCCAGTCTCGGTGTCGATGTCCAGACCGCTCGACATGGATGGCGTGAAGCGGAGCTTGTCGTCGGGCAGCAAGCAGTTCTCCAAGGTGATGAGCACGCCCGAATACAGCCTGTCGCCGATCAGCACCCCCTGAGACCCTGGGGCTGCTCCCCCCGAGCCGGAAGAGCAGGCCGCCAGCGCAGGAGGCACCGACCCAGCAGCCCCGGCCGCCGACGCCGCCATTTTGTGTCCCCGATTCTTTTCGGGCCTTCCCGGCAGGGCGGCTCCTCCGACGCTCACAGCCGCCCCGCCCAGCCCCCTTCGATTGGCTGCACGTCACCGACGCCTCGACGCCGTTGGCCGTACGACCTGTCCCTTAGTATCACGTCAGGCGCCGACGCCGGAAGTGGACTCGGGTAGGGCTGCTCGTTACCCACTCGGCTTCGCTGCCTGGCCCAGTCGGAATCCGGAGGTGGTAGTGCCCCTGCCTGGGAACCTGGGGCTCTAGAAGGCAGTCTTCGTGGGGATTGGGACAGGACGACTCCTTCCCCACAGTCCCACATTAGAACTGGGTCTTTTAAATTCTGACTCTGCCAGCAATTAAAAGTGCAGATCGGAGGAGCCAGGCGGTGGTGGCGCATGCCTTTGATCCCAGCACTCAGAAGGCAGAGGCAGGTGGGTATTTGCGCTCCAAGTCACCCTGCTCTACAGAGTGACTTCCATAGAGAAACCCTGCCTCAAAGGGAACAGAAGTGCAGATGGGTCTAGAAAGATGGCTCAGTAGTTAAGAGCACTGCTGCTCTTCAGGTCCTTAGCAGCCACATGGTGGCTCACAGCCATCTATAATGGAATCTAATGTCCTCTTCTGTCATGTAGGCACACATGCAAATAGAACACTCATACGTAATCCTGGTGTTTTATTTTTTGCTTTTTTTTTTTTTTTATGCAGATTAAAAGAGAGACCAGGAAAGGTCACACATTTGAGCAGGTACTGACCAAGAATGGCTGAGAACCTTGAAGGTTGGTAGGAAAGGACGTGGGAATTGACCCTACAGATAGTATTTATGAATATCCCTGACTCCATTCCTGACCTGCCTACTTTCTCCCAAAACAGTGCTGCTACTATACAGATGTGGTTGTTACCTGCCAGTGCTCAGTTAGTTCAAGCTTTCACCAGGACTGCAGCCAGATTTGGTGGGAGGGAAAATTGGGAGAGCACTGGAGGGTAAGAAGGTTTCTGCATAGGTTCTATTCAGATACTTTGAGCTTCGGACAGGCTGCCCAATAGTCAGCATTCCAGCAGTAAGTTGATTTGATTCTGTTGCCATAAGGGTCTGTATCTTCTACCCTATCTGTTCAATAATTATTGGCTAATCGGTATGTAACACCGGACAAAGTGGTGACAGTGTTGTAAACAAGATGGAAATACCTAGTGCATTGACCGTTGGGTTGATGAAAATCAAAAAGGCCTTGTTAGGAATGTTCAGTAAAGGAAGCCAAAATTAAGGTGGCCAAAGTGATCTTTAGGGACTGGGAATATAAAGGAGTTGCTAAGAGTGCTCCAGTAGCATGCATGAAGCCCTGAGTATCCTAGAAACTAACATGGTAGTAGTACATGCCTATAATACCAGCACTTTGGAGGTAGAGGCAGGAGATCAGGAATTCAGTCACCCTTCCCACTTAGTGAGTTCAAGGCTAGCCTGCCCAACATGAAATTGTCAACAAGAATAAAAACTTGTGCAAGGCAGGCCAGGCGTGGTAGCAGACACCTTTAATCCCAGCACTTGGCAGGAGGATCTCTGTGAGTTCAAGACCAGCCTGATCTATAGAGTGATTTCCAGGACAGCCAGGACTGTTACAGAGAAACCCTGTCTTGAAAAACAGAACAAAACAAAATTTTAGGAGGCAAATTAGGACTCAGTTATGTACGGTGCCAGAAGTAGGCATTGAGTCCAAGGGACAGATCAGAATGACTCCCAAGCAACAAGTGGCATAAGAGGAGGGTGGATGTCACCATGGTACAGAATGGTAAAGACAGGCACTATGGCTTTTCCTGTAGCAGGGGCTCAACAAATAGAAGTGGATCTGAACCTTTCAAATGTGGCTGGCTATTATAAAAAAAATTTCCCCCAAGATAAAACATTTTATCATGAGGAAGAAGCTAATAAAAACAAAGGATTTTGTTTGTTTTATTCCAAGATGGGGTTTCTTTGTAACAGCCCTGGATATGTTGGAATTCACTCTGTAGACCAGGCTGGCCTTGAACTCAGAGATCTGTCTGCCTTGTCCTGAGTGCTGGGATTAAAGGCCTACATGTGCCAAGCCAGAAGATGTTCTTTTTTTTCTTCTCCCTTTTGGTTTTTCGAGACAGGGTTTCTGTATATAGCCTTGGCTATGCTGGACTCACTTTGTAGACCAGGCTGGCCTTGAACTCACAGAGATCTACCTGCCTCTGTCTCCCAGAGTACTGGGATCACAGACATGCACTGCCTGGTTCCAGAGGATGTTTGTTTGTTTGTTTAAGAAAAAAATACCATTTATTATTTATTTTATTATGAGTGCTCTATCTGCATGTATATCTGCATACCAAAAGAAGGGACAGATCACATTATTGATGGTTATGAGCCACCATGTGGTTGCTGAGAATTGAACTCAGGACCTCTGGAAGAGCAACCTGTGCTCTTAACAGGTGAGCCATCTCTCCAGCACTGTTCCCCCAAACACACACACATACAGATGATGTACTTAAAGTAAAACATGCCATCCTGCAGGGAAACTCTTTTAAGATACAAGTAGTTGGGCATGATGGCACATGCCTATAATCCTAGCACTCAGGAGGCAAAGGTAGGTGGATCTCTAAGTTCAAGGGCAGCCTGGTCTACAAAGTAAGTTCCAGGGCAACTAAAGCTATTGAGAGAGACACTATCTTTAAAAAAAAAAAAAAAAAGGTAATAAAATACCTTCAGGATGTCCCTGAAACTGACCAAATTCATTAGGTCCCCTCCCCAAACACATCATGTCATCAGCTGTAACAACTGCTGAGAGACTCTCAGACAAGCCTAGGAGCCTAGACAAGATATTCTCCAACCCGCTGAGCTGCCTGTAGGCTCTGCAGTGTACTCCACTTGAGTGTGCTTTTGAGTTATTTTTGCTCCCATAAGTAACCCCAATAAACTATTGGTTCACCAATTGGACTTTAGTAGTCTCTTTACTTTGGTCAGTCAGTGGTTCCCTATCTGGGATGAATACCCTTTTGTCCATATCTCAGGAATAGTGTCTTATAATACTGTCACCCCAAAGCATAGTAGAAAAATGGCCTGATATATTTTGCTTGAAGAACAAATGGAGTAAATCAAGGAAAGGGGTTACTGTCAGGGTCTGCTGGGCTTTGTTTCCAGGAAATGGCTTTAGTGAGAGTTCTTAAAGTGAGATCAAGGGTAGGCCCAATAATAGGAGGCAAGCAGTAGATACTGGAACAAAGGTGAGGAAGTGCACACTAAACAACATGGTCAAAGCGTGGAAATGGGTGTTTAAGGGAGGCAGTCTTTGAGCTGGGTCTAACGGGGATACATTATCCACTGCAGGAGGAAGAATGAAAGCGTCCACCGCATACAGCAGTGATCGAGCTGCTGAGGTGCCACTGCTAATGAGATTGTCCAGAGTATACTCCTGAACCTTAAAGCAATCTTGTTAAAAGACCAAGCCACAGTGTCTGGAGATAACATCATGCAGATAGGGCAGATGACTGAAAATATTTACAATGATGAAGTGTCAGATGTCACAACATCAAACTGGAGGGACAAGGATCTTAAACTCAAAGTATGAGGTGTTTCTACTGAATGTATTGCTACGTGAATGCTTGATTTATCAAGCGCCAAAAAGGCACTGTATAGTAGGAAATGTAAGCGGGAAGGCTTATGGCATTCTTTACCCTCTGATTCTAGCACTTTCAAGTGAGCTGTTGCATACTGTAACATTGTAGCTATTCGGGGAGAAAAAGGAATGTTGCTTAAGAGAGCATCATTGTTTTAAGATACGCATTGCTGGGTATTGCCTTTGATTCTACTGTTTTAAGCCCTCATTTTCTCAAATTGTAAGTGCTTGCTGAAGTTCCCAAATATGCAAGGATAACTTACACTTTTTCCTTCCAACATTTCTTGATTGGCTTTGCAGAAATAAAGTTTAAAAAGAAAAAAAAAAGACCAAGCTAGATGATACAAGCTTGAAAGCCCTGGCTGTTTTGAAGCTGACAAAGCCTTTCAGACCGAGACCAAAAGCATGACATCCCTGGTATGAGTTCATATTCCTGTGATCTTTACCCAACTGGGAGCATGAAAAGAGAGCAGGGAAACAAGCTAGGGGCTCAGGAGTTGAGCCACTGGGCCCATGCAATACACAAGGAAAAGACCAAAAGAGGTTAATATCAATGTTGCTTACAGTAAGCCTACAGTTTGGGGGTACTTAAGACAGACTAGAAAACTGGAGTGTCAGTTCAGAAACCTGGTATAGAACTCCAACTTTATAGGGAAAAACAGCAATGCAAACCTGAATCCTCCTACTACCCTTAGTAGCCTCTCATAAAACAGAGAGCCAATGAAAGGCATATGGGCACTACAGAGGCTTTAGACATCTAAAGGTAAGTTGCCTATGCCAGAAAATAACTCAACTTGAACACTGCAAAGGCTTTATTTGTACAATCTTTACAGGACAATTTTGGATCTGTGTCATTGAGTAAAAACATGTTCTCTCAAGCCTGTTACTAAAATGTAAATAAATACAAATCAGACTTTCTGATCACAATCCATTTGCTCCTATCTTGTTTATAACAATTTCCATTGCAATGTAAACTTCAGTGGTACTGCACCACTCTGGAAAAGATGCCTTCAGGCTCCTTCCCATCCCCCAAAGCTGCAGCAAATCCTTCCTGCTGCCTCCTCTTAGCCAAAGCAGCCAAAGATTTAAAAGTCTTTGGTTCATAGATGGCCAGGTCCACAAGTACTTTCCTGTTGAGCTCCACCTGGCACTGGAAAGACAAAGAACCGCAACCTATAGTCAGCATCAGAGACCACTTGAGAAAGCTAGGTATAGTGGCACATGCCTTAATTCTAACACCTTGGAGACAGAGGCAGGCAGTTCTAAGCCAGCTACAGAATACATAAGGAGACTATCTCAAACAACAAAAACCAACAAAAAGAAACTACTTAGTAAAATAGAGGACATCCCATGTTGGAACAGACAGGAGGATGTTGCCACAAGACAACTCTAGACTTAGTAGGTCTAGAGTAAGCAACAGCACTCCACTGGAGTGGGATACTTGGGAACTGTGGAACGGGCATAGCTGGACATTGTAGGGGAAATGTGGGTGGGGGACAAGGAAGGGTACCTATAGAGGCTGAAACATGGAAGAGCCAGCTGAGGCCCAGGTCCCATGTCAATGATTAGCACTGAGACTTCTGGCCAGGGCTAACCCTTTACTGTAATTTAGAGATGTGCAAGCTCATTACACTGTGATTCCTACCGAATAAGACTGCAGGGATGGCAGAAGCAGGTGATTTCAAATGAAGACTGGCTCAGAGAGAGAGAGGCTATGGAGTTGGGAGTATAACCGAGTGGTGCAGTGCTTATGTACAAGGCCTGGGCTTTATCTCTAGCAATGACTGTAAAAGTGATTTCAGAAAGCTGGCAACTCCCACTCGTGCAGCCAAGAAAAGAAAAACGAGGGACTGGGGACTGGCTGCATATACTCAATACTGCTGTCAAGCAATGAGTGGACCCTACTGTGTGACTTGTGACTTTCTTTACCCTCCTCACTCCCCTTCCCGACAAAGTCTATCATGTGGCTCTGGCCGTCCTGAAACTTACTGCATAAACCATGCTGGCCTCAAACTCAGATATCTGCCTGCCTCTGCCTCCCAAGTGTTTGGACTAAGGGTGTATGCCATTATACCCCAAATACCTGTAACTGTAAATCTGCTTTCTGAGCATCAGGCCCACATCAGTAAAATGAGGAATATAATACTTCCCCAGCTCACTGGAGGACCCTTATACAGCACTAGGACAACGTCTGTGATAAGGTGGAAATGGAATGCCTACCACTTCCATTTCATTTTGAAAGAGAAAAATGTGGATGGCTGGAGAGATTGCTCAGCAGTTAAGAGTACTTAACTCCTCTTCCAGAGGACCTAGGTTTAATTCCCAGTACCTACATGGCAGTTTGCAATCATCTGTAACTTATTCTGGCATCCAAGGATACCAGGCACAGATGCACTACACAGACAAAGATGCAGGCAAAATAACTTCTGTACATAAAACTTAAAAACACATCTCAAACTCTAAAGTTAACATCATATTTCTACCTTTTTTCTTTCATACAGAAACATCCAAGTTGGCATCTATAAAACATGCAACTACTTATGTGTGCTAAACTATCAGTAGGGCAAATGAAAAGCAGGTTGCCAGAACTCCATCCAGACAAAAAGAACTAGTTTACAGTGCAGCCCTAGCAACACTCATGTCCACCCCATGGACTAAAGCCAGGCTGGCTTACATCTGATGGCATAATTCCTTTAGATGCTCAATCCCTTGATAAGACTCTCAACTTACCTTAATTAAGTTGCCAATGAATGCTGGGTACTGTAAGCCATGTTCCTGGGAGGCAGCTGTAATTCGATTAATCCAGAGCTAGAATTAAAACATTAAGATGTTTGATACTGACTTTCTTTTCTTTGAAACAGGGCCTCACTATGTAGCTCTGGCTATCCTGGAAATTACCATATAGATCAGGCTGGCCTTGAACTCACAGAAATCTTCGTGCCTCCGCCTCCCTAGTGCAAAGATTAAAGGTCTATATCACTACACCTGACTCCAGAAAGGTTTGATTTCTGAATGTTGCATCCATATCCTGTTTCTAGCAAAGGTTCTAACTGAATTAAAAAGTGCTCATAAAAATAAGTAGAAAAGATGTTTTCTTCTCAGGCAAACAGGTTTTTGAGAAAAACAATAGCAAAGGTTGATGTATTTCATACAGACAAGCTCCACTCTGAATCACAAGCAGGCAGCACTTCTAGAAGAAGCAGGAGGATCAGGAGTTACACCCAGCCAAGGTTACATATTGAAACACTATCTCAAAAAAGCCAAGTACATAGCCAGTCTTGGTGGTACAAGCCTTTAATCCCAGCACTCCAGAGGCAGAGCCAGGCAGGTATCTGCATTAGAGGCCATCCTGGTCTATTTAGCAAGTTCCAGGACAGCCAGGGCAACACATGAGATGCTGTCTCAACACCAAAAACAAAACAAAAAGTAAAGTAAAACTTTCCTCTCTAAATGACAAGCAAGCTAGGGTGATGCTGTGTACCTGAAATTCCAGCACTTAGGAGGCAGGAGGAACATCTCAAGTTTGAGGCCAGGATGGTCTGTCTACACAGTGAGTTTCAGGGCAGGTAGGGCTATATGGCAAAAATCTACCTCAAAAAAACAATTTAAAAAAAGGCAGGCAGGCAAGGATAGGCCTGGCAGTGTAGGCCTGTAACACCAGCTCCAAGTACAGGTTTGGCATGATTGTAAGCCTGGGCTGTAGAATGAGTTCAGGTTGAGCCTGGAAACTTAGTGTTCTGTGACACATGAGTTCCCTAGAGCTTGGAGGCCAGGCACCCTCATATGTTCACATCCCAATTAAAGACCTCATGTCAAAAAAACAGGAAGGAATGACAATTGAGGTTGACCTTTGCACACCACCATGCATATAAAAATAGCTAGGGATATAGCTCAGAAATTCAGGAGCCAAGCTGGGCATAGTGACCCATGCCTGTAATCTCAGCACTCAGGAAGGCAGAGTGAATTCAAGGCCAGCCTGGTCTACAAAGTGAGTCCAGGACAGCCAAGGCTACACAGAGATGGCTCATATTACTGTGTAATCCTGATGACTTGCCATCAATCCCTAGAACTCAACTGAAAAGTCTGGACACAAAGCATAAGCCCATCCTAGCACTCCTAAAGGCTGAGCCAGAACTTCATGGCCAGCTAGCTTAGAGTATAACATGTATCAGGAACAGCAAGGCAGATTCTGCCTCAACAAGGTGGAAGAGCTGACTCATGAGAATGGCTCTAATCTCCACACTCATACATATGCAGGAGTGCAAGCACCCGGAGAATCCAGGCCTGCTGTGTCCAGGCCCTGGGTTCATTCAACCCTCAGACTGCTTTCCTCTCCCGCAGAAAAAGAGAATCAAGTAAGCAAGCCACTGCAAACTATTTGTATGCACCAAGATCTAGCTGATTGGATTAGAGTCTGTGCCAGGCACTAGCAAACACCTTAACATCGATCTGAAAAGACTGAAAAGATTCAGAAGAATCTAGAATTGTGAATCAAAGTGACTCTGGCCAGAAGATGAACAACTGTGGATTTCTTCAGTATAACTGGTGTGTGCCTGTTCTTAGACATCAGGTATCAGTGGGTTTTTGTTTTGTGCTGTTGGGGATGGGAGGGCTCCTTTAAGCATTCTTTACAAAGGTAGAGTAGATCCTAAAGGTCTCAAGTTTGAACCTGCAACAGAATCCCTGGAAGTTTGTTAACACAAATTACTGGGCCCTCCTTTGAGAGCCTGATTCAGCAGGTTTAGAGTAGGGCCTTTAAAGTGTGCATTTCTAACAAGTCGCAGGGAGACCAGGACTGTCCAAGGCCCTTAGACCCTCCACTGTGGCAGCAAATGCTCACTTCTCATATTAACTGGACATTCCCATGTGTTCACAACACTACAGCACACTTTGAGCCTGAACAAATTACCAGGTCTTGGGGCGGCAGGCAGCACCACCCTACCCCAAAGGCCTGTACCAATGAGAACAGACAGGAATCCAAACCAACACTGTCTAGGCTGTGAGCACAGCCCTCTTGCTATAACTCCCCACATTCTGGTTGGGGAGTTCTGTAACTGTTTTTATTTGTATATATACGGGTACATATATATATAAGTATATATATATGGGTATGTGGGTGGGTACATGTTTAGACCAAAAGGAATCAGATCTCCTGGAGCTAGAAGTACAGGTGGTTGTGAGTTGTCAGCTGTGAGAACAGAACTTGGTTGATATAGCAGACCAACAAGTCTTCTTAACCGCTGAGCTATCTCTCCAGGCTTAGGGGGACACTTTGACACTCAAGGTCAGAAATGACCCTTCATATGGCCCTGTTGACTTTGCTCATAGGTACTTATAAGAACAACTACTCTGGCCCCAAGTACAGCTTTCAAACGACAAACACTTCACACAGGGTCAGCCCAAGGAGGTGAAGGGGACTTCCAGGGGATGAACGCCAACTTCAGGTGGGTACAGAAGGCCAAGCTCCGGAGGACGGAGGGCTGAGCTCGAACCCTGACGTGAAAGAGAGCAGAGCTCTAGGGAGATGAGAACAAGGTGGGGTCGGAGTGGGGCTCCCAGGAGTTGCGCTTACAGTCCTCAGGTTCCGCTTCTTCAGTCTGCGAGCCTGCGTACACTTAACGAAGGCTCTGGTCACCGCCCTGACTGCCAGCCGGTAGCAGCGATTCTTCCTTCCCCTAAAATGCTAGAAAAAGAAAACGGAAGAAGGGTGTCTAGACGGCAGCGCGCCACCTCGCCGGTGCCAACCTGGGATCCCGGCACGCGCACTCACCCGAGCATGTTTGAGCACCTCCTGAACCCGCCAATAGCGGTCCGTCAGGCGGTTTCGCAGGCAGAGCCGCGTGGTAAGGAAGACCATCGTGTGCTCCCGAATTCCTAGACACTGCCATAAGCGCTTCCGGGTCAACGGTCAGAAAGGCCGGCCTTGCGGCGTATGTGCGCGCGTACTGTCTTCCGGGAGGCCTCTGGGCTCCCTCGCTGAGTTCCGTTGTGCGTGACGGTCCGCACTCGGGTGAAGCGAACGAAACAGACCAGATGGATATAGTTGATGTCATGGACGGAGGGACCAAGGAGGCGGGGCTGGTGATGAAGTGTATAAAGAGGACCCCTGTGAAAGTAAAGGTGCGCGCGACCACCGCCAAGCTGTTTTTCTTTATTTACCTGTTGTTTGTTTTTTGACGCAAGGTTTCTCTGTGCAACAGCTCTGCTTGTCAAACTCACCAGAGATATGCCTGAACTTCAAGGCGTGTACCACCACCTGGCGCCTGTTTTTTGCTTGTTTGTTTGTTTGTTTGTTTTGGGTTTTCTTTTTTTAATTTGTTTAATTTTCTTTATTTTTATGTACATTGGTGTGAGGCTGTCAGGCCTGGAGCTACAATTGGGAGCTGCCGTGTGGGTACTGGGAATTGGGTCCTTAGGAAGAGCAAACAGTGCTCTTAACCACCGAGCCATCTCTCCAGTCCCTTTTTTGATTTTTCGAGACATGGTTTCTCTGTGTAGCCGTGGCTGTCGTGGACTCACTTTTTGTTGACCAGGCTATACTCGAACTCACAGAGATCTGCCTGCCTCTGCCTCCCTGAGTGCTGGGATTACAGGAGTGGGCCATCATGCCAGGCTCCTGTTTAAGAGAGAGAAGAAAGGTAGAAAGAAACTGGGAAAAGATGAAGAAGAGGGAAAATATGTTGTATAAAGTAACCTTGTTTTCAATAAGTAATAAATGTCTGGGGTTGGAGAGGAGGCTCGGGGGTTAGGAGTACTTACCGCTCTCGCAGAGGATATGGCTTCATCTCCCAGCATCCACGTTAGCTCACATGCACCCGTAACCCCAGTTCCAAGGGATCAGATGCTCTCTTCTGACCTACAAAGCACCCTGCGCTAGTGGTGCCTATACGTCCAGGTGCACACACATACACAAAAATAAATAATTTACAAAACTAAGTAACCAGTGTTAGTATTTAGGCACCTGCTTCTGGGTTGCCTAGCAACCTATGATGTCATCATGTTTCCCTGGCCAGGTGACCACACCTGGCAGGTGTGGTTACTTTGCTCCTTAAAAGGATCAACCTGCCCACTTTGTCTCTCTCTTGCTCTCTCTTGCCTCTTGCCCTCTTGGCCCTCTTGCCGTCTCCTCTTTCTCTGTGGGGGCGCCCTCTTCCCTTATCATGTCTCCTGCTCTCCTCTCTCTCTTCATCTCCAGCTAATAAACCTCTTTCATATAAGATCTGCTGTGCACCTCATCATTCATTAATTGGTCCCAACAGCCAGATCTGATGGCAGAGGTCTTTAAGACCAGCACTCAGAAGGTGGAGGCTGGTAAATCCATGAGTTCGAGGCCAGCCTGGTCTACAGAGTTAGTTCTTGGCCACCTAGGGAGACACAGTGAGGGCCTGCCTGAAATAAATAAATAAATAAATAATGAAAACAAATGTGTATGATTTATTATTAATAAGTTTGATTTGTTGACCTATTTCATGTGCTTTTATGCCTATGATATAAGTGAAACTAGAAATAATAACTCGATGTTATAAAGGATCTACTAAGCTTGCTTAGAAAATATAAAGCTACACAAAGTAGAATTCTCTCAAGGATGAGTATCATACTAAACAGACATTAGAAACTGTAGAAAGAAAAAATAATAACCGTTTGCAGTGGTGCACGCCTGTGATCCCAGCACTCAGGGAGGCAGAGGCAGGCGGATCACTGTGAGTTCAAGGCCAGCCAGGCTACACAGAGAAACCCTGTCTCAAAAACAAAACAAAAAAACACCTGTTTTTCTGTACTTCTAACATAATTAAGATTTAGGTTTACTTGGGTTGGGGAGAAGATGGCCCAGTGGTTAAGATCACTTATTTTTTCAGAGGACCCAGGTTCAATTCCCAGCACCCATAAGCTGACTCACAATCATCCTTAACTACAATTCCAGGGATCTAATGCCCTCTTCTGGCCTCCAGGGCACTGCATGCAAATGATACATGGCCATACACCCACATGCAAGATAATTTTTTTTGGAAAAAAAAATTATGAGCTGGGCAGTGGTGCACACCTTTAATCTCACATTCGGGAGGCAGAGGCAGTTCCAAGCCAGTCTAGTCTACAGAGTGAGTTCCAGCCAAGGCTGTCTCAAAAAAACCAAACTGAAAAAAAAAAAAAAATAGCTTTCCTGCAATATGTTTCTGTTAAGATTTGTTTGTTAGGGCATTTGGAAAGATGAATCAGTAGTTAAAAGCACTTTCTGCTCTTCCAGAGGACCCAGGTTCAATTCTCAGCACCCACATGACTGCTCACAATTGTCTTTAACTCCAGTTCCAGGGGACCCATTGCCCTCTTCTGACCTCAGTGGGCCCTAAAAGCACTAAGTACACAGATAGACATACATAAATGCAGGCAAAATACCCATACACATAAAATGATAAAATAAAAATAATTTAGTTAAAAACAAAAGATTTGTTCACTAAGATTGACACCAATTGGGTGCTATTCACATAACAAAAACACACAGTCCTGGCTCACAGCTGTCGATTAGGCCCATTTTCATATCAAAGGACATGCCTTTATAGGAGAAGTCAAAGGGGCAGAACTGGTTCTCTTATCCAAAAGAGCATAATTCTGCCAGGTAGAGAGGATGACCAAGTTAATAACTGTCTGGGAAAAGAAGCCCTGGTCTGTCCAGACATAACTATGACAGTAGTTTTACATTGTAAATATCCCCATTTGTCCAAACAACCAAACCTTGGAACTTCTGTCTCTGTGAAACATGTTTAATTGCTCAAAGTATAACTTGGGGCCATGAAACTGTTACCTAGAACAAGTCATACACTATTGTTAAAAAGTTTTTTTCTTAATATCTCTAAGTACTAGAGTGGTTTTTCACTGGGAAAGCATACTAATTCTAAAATACCCAGAGTCATATAAAAATCTTCTTTAGTGAAAATGGGCCGATGCTGATGCAGACGCTGCTGTCCCTTGTCATCTTTTGCTGCAGCCATGGCCAACCCCACTGTGCTCTTCGACATTGCTGCGGATGGTGAGCCCTTGGGCCGCGTCTCCTTGGAGCTGTTTGCAGACAAAGTTCCAAAGACAGAAACTTTTGTGATCTGAGCACTGGAGAGAAAGGACAGAAGGGTTCCTGCGTTCACAGAATTATTCCAGGATTCATGTGCCAGGGTGGTGACTTACACGCCATAACGACACTGGCAGCAGGTCCATCTACAGGGAGAAGTCTGAGGATGAGAACTTCATCCTGAAGCATATGGGTCCTGGCATCTTGTCCATGGCAAATGCTGGACCAAACACAAACGGTTTCCAGTTTATCTGTATCTCCGAGACTAGTGGCTGGATGGCAAGCATGTGGTCTTTGGGAAGGTGAAAGACGACATGAGCATTGTGGAAGCCATGGAGCGTTTTGGGTCCGGGAATGTCAAGACTGGCAAGATCACCATTGCCGACTGTGGACAGCTCTAATTCTTCTGACTTGTGGGCTTCTTACCTACCGGACCATTCCTTCTGTAGCTCAGGAGAGCGCCCCACCCCACCTGCTCACAGTGGCCTGTAATCTCTGCTCTCACTGAAATTCTTTGGGTTCCACAGTTTCCTCACTCCCCTCCAAGACTAGCTGGATTGCAGACTTAAGTTTATGATTATGGATAAATTAAAAAAAAAAAAAAAGAAAAAGAAAATGGGTCATGAGTGGTTAAGTAGCCTTGACCTAACCTATAGTCCATATACAACTTTTTCTAGGTGTTCTTTATAGCTTTTCTTTCTGTTCAGGATTCAGTCCCACTGATTCACTCACTGCATTTGATACTTGTGTGAGCGCTTTCTCTCTCTCTCTCTCTCTCTCTCTCTCTCTCTCTCTCTCTGTGTGTGTCTCCTTCTCCCTCTCACTCTTTCTGTGTGTTGTTAAAAATTGAAGATTGAACACAGTAGCTTTTGTGTCCTGGAGACCTGCTCTGTTACTGAACTGGAGCTCCAAGCCTTGATTTCTTTGTCTTGATGTCTTGAATGATCATGAGATTACAGAAGAGAGAATTCAATATTTGTAGGCTTCTTCAATCTGAATTTACCTCTTCCCTCATGCTTAGAATCAAGGTTTTTTTGAGACAGGCTTATACATTTTTGGTGACCAGTGCAGAAATTATATTGTGTCCTTGGGATCTGGTGGTAGGAAGTTGTGAATTAAGTCAGCTTGTACCAGCATTGGTCATGTTAGTCCTGATTAAGATACAGTGTATAACACACCCAGAAGAGGAAAGAAAGAGATGAGATCTGTTATACCATTACAAACCCAGGAGTTCTGAAGCCAAGATGGTGGAAGAGCAAAGTGTTGTGTTGGGTGAAAGTGACCAGTGTTCATGACTTCACCAGCTGTCCGGGGAACTGGTGACAGATGTTACCTTTCTGAACAAGATATTCAAGCAAAACTCATCCATGGACTTAGCATTTTGAGATGATGTAAATGTTCTATCCTTCATTTAATTCATGCTAATTTGAATATCCATTGGTGATTTTCTAAATTTCCCATCCCTTCCACATTTACTTGGTATTCTACCTAAAGAAGAGTTTTCTGAGGTGGTGCTGCACGCCTTTAATTCCAGCACAAGGGAGGCAGAGGCAGGTGGATCTCTGTGAGTTCAAGGCCAGCCTGCTCTACAGAGTGAGTTCCAGGATAGCCAAGGATACACAGAGAAACCCTGTCTCAGAAAAGAGAGACAGAGACAGAGGCAGACACACACAGAGAGAGACAGATAGGGAGAGAGAGAGAAAGGCAGGGAAAGAGCTTTTGGGGCTGGGACAGGTGTGAGTGCATGTGTGTCACACACCTTTGATCCCAACACTCAGGAGACAGAGGCAAGCAGAACTCTAGAGATGGAGGACAGCGAAAACTATCGCGTGGGGGAAACTCTGCCTCAAAGCAAGCAAGCAAGCAAAAAGAAGGGCTTTCTGAGCTTGAGCATAGTGACTTACACCTATAACTCTAGTGCTCTGGAACCCAAGATAGGTGGTCTGCCAGCCTCGGCTGTAAAATAAAACACTGTCTGGAAAACAAAAACAAAAACAAAATCTTTGCCAGGTGTGTAGCAAATGCTTTTCATTCCAGCACTTGGGGGGGGGGGGGGGGGGCAGAGGCAGGCTGATCTTTGTGAATTTGAGGCCAGCCTGGCCTACAGAACAAGTTTCAGGATAACCATGGCTACACAGAGAAGCCCTGTCTTGAAAAATGAAACAAAACAACAACAACAAAATAAGTAAAAATAAAAGCGTGTATCACCATGCACAGCTTCCTAAAGTTTTTCTCATAACAGAACAAAGAAAGCCATAAATCAAGACACTTTTTTACTACATGGCTGGAAATATCAGAGAGGTGTTTGCAGCAACATGGGGAAGCTCTCCTATAGGCCTCAGATGATTTTTTTTCTTTTCAAAATGGGGTTTCTCTGTGTAGCCCTGGCTGTCCTGGGCTCACTATGTAGACCAGGCTTGCCTCACAGAGTTCTGGCATCAAACGTGTGTGCCACCATGCCTGGCTCTCAGATGACATTTTAAGCTTTTGGATTGGTGGAAGCTAGTGTTATACTAAGTTAATAGATTCCAAAATATTTCTGTTAGTCACAGGTTGTTAGTTCTAACACAGAGGTGAGCAAGGAATGGCTATTCAGGGGCTAAAGCTTGAGAAAAAGTGCCCTGAAGCTGCAACACTCCATCCTCTCCACATCACTGCAGCTCTGAACAGTCAGTCAGTCTTTGCAGATGCACACAGCTTCTTTCCAGGAGTTGTCAATGGCATGTGTATGCTAGGCGTTTTTCCACCAGAGCCACATTCATAGACTGAACTGTATGTTCCGAAACTATGAGCCACAAGTCACTTCTTTCATGTATCATATCACAGGGATGAAAAAAGAAACTAATATGAAAGACAAATATAAACAGAACATCTCCATAGACAGTCAAGAGTCAAGGTAAAGGGGAGCCCCATGGTGAGCAGACAAAAAAGAAACCACGAGGTTTTAGTCAAATCTGTTGCCAATACTCAACCTAACCAGCATGTGGAGGAGGCTGGATTTGGGAAGTTATGCTCCTGAGGACAGAAATCAAGCCATCAACACCTTCTCTTTCCAAAAATTCTCAGTTGATTTCTCTCTGACGAGACAGATGGTCTCTCCCTGGAAGGAGTCAGGAGTCTTCTTGTCCCATTACAGCCAATAAAGCTTAGCCTCACGGAAGGCAGCTCAGCGAAGATGGGGCTGTGGCTCCGGGGAAGCAGCAGGTTACCTGCTCCCCGCCAGCAGACATGGATTTACTCCAGGCATCCAGGAACCAGTAAGTGGAAAATCCTTAATGCTGGGCTCTGACTAACACCCAAAGAGGCCCCACCCGCTGCAACTTATGTAGATTTTGAGCTATAACATTTCATGCACACTGTCATTTGTAAATCTTGTTTAGGTCCTAGAACCAACTTGCATTTTAAGCATTTGAACATGTTGTAAAGAGCTGGAAACTGCAAGTGCGGCCATTTTGAGCTGATGGGAGATTTACAGAACAGATATTGTCATTGTCACAGTTATTTCTAAATAAACCAGTTTGTTTTGTTTTGTTTTTGTAGTTGTTAACCAGGGTTATCTTACCTGCCTGGCAGAATTATAATCCATTTGAGATGAGAATATAACCACGACGTTATATTCTTGGTGAGCAAATCTTAACAAAAAGATATCCTCCCAGGCTAGAGAGATGGCTCGGAGGTTAAGAGCACTGCTTGCTCTCCCAGAGGTCCTAAGTTCAATTCCTAGCAACCACATAGTGGCTCATAACCATCTATAATGAAATCTGGTGCCCTCTTCTGGCATTCAGGTGTACATGCAGACAAAGCATTGTATATACAATAGAAGATAGATAGATAGATAGATAGATAGATAGATAGATAGATAGATAGATAGATAGATAGATAGATTAGATAGATAGATATCCTCCGTAGCCCTGAACTCTTAATTTCGTTAGAAGCACAGCTCTACTTTTTAATCTTTCTGTATTTTCTGAGAAGTTTGGTTAGTAGAGGAAATCAGGCAGTGCCTGATCTGGGCCGATTCACCCCACTGTGTCCTCAAGGCAGGGTTGGCTCCTCGGCTCAGCAGAAGCTCCACAGTGGGACTGTGGCCACGCTCCACGGCAAGGTGCAGCGGGGTCTTGTGGAGCCAGGCAGTGGCATTGATGTGTGCAGCCCTGTCCAGGAGATGGCTGACAACGTCTACGTGGCCTCCCTGAGCAGCATAGTGCAGGGGTGTGAGGCCCAGCGAGTCTCGAGCGTCCACGCCGGCACCCCTGGCCAGCAGCAGCTGGAGGACAGGTAGGTGGCCGCCAGCTGCAGCCCTGTGGAGCGCAGAGCGGTTGTTCCTGTCCCTGCTACTTGGGTCTGCCCCATGGCCCAGCAGCATCTCAACGTCCTGGAATAAGAAAGGAAGAAGAGAGGAAGAACCAACTACCTTGGTGCAGGGGAGTGAGGAGCCAGGCCTGGCGTCCGCCTGACCCGATCGCCTGCAACCTCTTTTTCTTTTAGGAATGAATAGGATGGAATCTAAGGCAGCCCCAGATTCTTGGATCAAACTCAACACTGTGCAAAGGCTACTGTCCTCTGGTGCCCTCTGGGGCCCGCTGATCTCGAGCTCCAGCCAAATATTTAACATAAATACTTGTTGCCTGGCATGGTGGCCCACACCTTTAATCCCATTAATCAGGAACCAGAAGCTGGAGGGCTCATGTGAGTTCAGGACCAGCTTAGTCTAAATAGAAAGCTGCAGTCCAGCCAACACTACATAATAAGATGCTGGCTCAGAAAATGTATCATCTATCTACCTACCTATCTACCTACCCGTTCATTGTTACCATTTACAAGAACGAAGTGAGAGTGCCAGGTGTTGGAAACCTCCCCAGCTACCATTCTGCAGGCAGTTATATAAGAAGGGCCCAGCTGCCAACATGCTCAGCTCCCAAACCCTGCGCCCTCCCCCTGTGCTTCGGCATCTTTCCGTTTTCTTCCACTCCTTGCCCAGAGCTTATGGAAGTGTAAGAATTAAGGCCCTTGGGCTTCTATCATGATCATTGCAGATGAAGGCTGGACCTACTCGGTAATGGCCAAAGCCAGCTGCCAGGCCAAGTGCAGTGGCTCCTGTGCTGTCCAGGGCATCCACCTTTGCCCCCAGTGCCAGGAGAAGCTGCAACGCAGATGCACTTCCAGCCACTGCGGACACCAGCAGGGCGCTGTCCAGGTCTCCGCGCCCTTCAGCAGTCAGAAGCTCCAGCACAGGCAGTTGCCCGCAAGCCGCTGCCCAGTGTGTGGCAGTCCAACCTCTCACATCTTTGACATCAGGACCGGCACCTGAAGCTGACATAAGGCATGTAACCAGCAGTGTGCGGCCCAGAGCAGCTGCCCCATGCAGGGGGGTGAGGCCTATTTGAGAACATGCTGCTGCTGAGGCCCCACGCCGCAGCAATAGTTCTGCCACGTTCGAGTGTCCGTGCCAAGCAGCCTCATGCAACGGTGTGCGCCCTGTGTGGTCAACTGCGCCTGCCAGGGCCCCACGCTGCAGCAGTAGGCGAACCAGCGGCGCGTGGCCTCGCATCACAGCCAGATGGAGTGGAGTCCGGCCCATGTGATCCCTGTAGGGTGCGAAAGAAGTCAGAGCGCTGTCCATACATTCAGCCAGAGAGAGTCTGGAGCTAGTTGTTAATCGTGAGGCTCACCTCTCCTCCACGCTGGAGCCTTGCCTCAGCAGCTGCATCACCAGGCTAGGAGCACCCCACCACACTGCTTGAAACAGGGTGCTCCAGTCCTGGGAGGTAAGAGGTCCCTCGGTCTTGTCTGCTGAGGCCTCCTCCCAAACCAACTTCATCCACTGTAGTTCCTGCTCCAGCCTGCTGGAATCCATCCTGGGAGACCAGGGACCTGCAACCACCCTGAGGCCTCTGGCTGGTTCACCTCACCTGTCCCAGGTCGCCACCACACCGGAAGGCAGATGCCAGTGAGCCTTCTGAAGGATCTGACTCCCAATTACCTCCAGAGGGAGCTGGCACAGGAGTTCTGTCTTCCAGACGAGGGTTCTCTATTCTACTTCTAGCCTAACCTCATTCTGGTGAAGCTTCTCAGAATTTTCCTGCAGGCTGAGAGTGGGTGCTGCCCCTGGGAAGCTAGACTAGAAGGTGAAGGTGGGCAAAGGGCTGCAGCTTTCTTTTGGGCTATGCTGAGGCCATCCAACACTGTCTGTCTAGCAATTTGAAAGAAGTCTCTGCCTGCCAGCCCCAGCCAGAGCACCCTTGCCCTCTTGCTGACAACTAAAGCTCTTGGCCACACTACCAGGAAGAAAGGCCAGGACGGGTTGGGAAGGACAAGCAGGAACATGCCCTGCTTTGCAGTACCTCCTTCCTACCTTTCTCCAAGTAACACAAACTTTGATATGTTCTGAAGTGCCTCCAGGCACCCTGAAACCTACCTGCCCCCATCCCAACCTGAGGCTGGAACCACATCTCTTCCTGGTTTCAGACAGGGTTGGGGAGGGGACACAGAAAGGTTCTATCCTTCTTGCTAATAAGATACTTTGAAAGAGAAAAAGGTTCACCATAGACATCTGACATGTGGGGTTGGACACTCCTGGAGAACAGGTTAAGACAGGCTAGTGCAGGCCAGGAAAGGAAAGAGATGTCTGGGTGGGAAGGGGTGGAAGCAAGCAAGGCTGTTTCTGGAACAGGAGCCACTAAGTACCTATGTCTGTAGGTAGGAAGGGGGCCCCGAAGGAACAAGTCATTCATGTGAACAGTTCACTCTGGGCCTGAGACAGAAAGGGCAGGGTTGCCCGCCTGACCAGATTCTAAATGTGGGCAGCAGAGCCTTGCCAGCTGATCTCTATGGCTGGCTACTGTAGTTCTCCGCAAAAGAGTGTCCAGCAATGCGCAGCACAGCATGGAGCTGTCTGTGTTAGCTCCAGATACCCAACAGATGAAGAGACATACTTGCACTCTCATCCTGGGAACAGCAGCCTTCTATCTCTGAGCCCTGCTCAGGCGATCTCACCAGTCCATTTAGATGCTACTTCCCAAGGGATGAGAGCTTAAGAGCCAATTTGAAGCAACCTTTGCCTCTGACCTGTTGTTTTCTTTTTAGCCCTCAACAAAACTCTGTTCATTAATTTTTTAAAAAGATTTATTTATTTGCTATGTATGCAATGTTCTGTCTGCATGTACACTTGCATTCCAGAAGAGGGCCCAGATCTCATTATAGACGGTTATGTACTACCATGTGGTTGCTGGGAATTGAACTCTGGTCCTTTGGAAGAGTAGACAGTGCTCTTAACCTCTGAGCCATCTCTCCAGCCCTCATTAATTTTTTGTTAGCCAGGCTTTATTATTACACACTCATAATGGAAGTTTTGGTTTCTTTAAAAGCTCAGTTATGTTGACAGGTTTTTGTTTTAATCCTTAGTGTGAGATGTGGAGCTGCTGCTGATTGTCTCATGAGGGTTGTGGTCTTTGCCAGTTGCAGACAGTTTAATTCAGAGGAATGGTAGAGGAAGGGAATTCTTCGTGGAGGCTTTGAAGAGACAGTTGGAGGAAGAAGGCTGCTTGTTTGTCCTGCTGCTTCATTTGCTGTTTACAGGACTGCTAGATACGCTGAAACTGAGATGTGTTGCCCCAAAGAACCCAAGAACCTTAACAAGCTGGAAATAGTAAAGAGGCCTATGCTCCTTCTCCTCACTAACCTTTTTTCTCACCTACCTAGTGTTGGGGAGTTGGAAGGGAGGTAGAAGTATAAACCCCAATAAAGTAGATAGAAAGTACAGCTACACACACCTTTAATCCCAGCACTCGGGAGGCAAAGGCAGGCTGATCTCTGAGTTTGAGGCCAGCCTGGTCTACAGGGCAAGTTCCAAGACAAAAACAAATATTATTTATTTTATTTATTTTTGTATAGTTGGGAGTTGTGTTCACAGTGGCGGTCTGAGAACAGCTTGCAAAAGTCAGTTTTCTCCTCCCAGGTGGGTCCCGAGATTGAACTCAGATTATAAAGCCTGCAAACACCTGGACCTGTCGAACCATCGCAACGGTCAGGGTCTGTTCATTGTAAATGTGTCTCTCTCTTCTAAGGTAGATGCTCTAGAAGAGGCTAGTTACAAGAAGCGGAGATCTTCTGACTTTAACATTTGTGGTGGGATGAGCTGAGCTTCAGCACCCTTGTTCCATGATGATACAGAGATGAGTCAAGCACCCTGTTGTGAAAAGCCGCTTTTGTGAAGCAGCTTCATGGGAGTGGGGAGATAGGAGGGTGGACATCAGATCCAGGGAGACTGTAATTCTGTTCATGCCAGCTTCCACCGTCTCTTCACGAGATCTCCCTAGATCTTCTGGGGCCTTCTCTGCTGGCTGCAGCCTCCCATGGTGGAGCCATGGGAAGCTATCAGGACAGCAGTGCAGCCCACCTGTAGGTATAGCCCTTCTTTCGAAGCCAAAAGGCCTAAAATAATTCTGTAGTTTGAATGTATCTCCCCAAAGTTCACATTAAAAGCTTATTTTCTAGTTGGTTGGTAGTGGTACATGCCTTTAATCCCACCACTCAGGAGACAGAGGCAGGCAGATCTCTGTGAGTTCGAGGCCAGCCTAGTCTACAGAGTGAGTTCCAGGACAGCCAAAGCTAAAACAGAAAAACCCTGTCTCAAATAAAACAAAGCAAAACAAACAAACAAACAAACAAACAAAAAACCCTAAGAACTTGTAAAAGTATTTGTTAATGACATTGGCAGGTGGGGCCTTTGGGAACTGAAGTTAACCAAGGTCATAGAAGTGGGGCCCTAGCATTTCTGACATACACATTCACAGATACACATAAGTAAACCGTGTGTGTGTGTGTGTGTGTGTGTGTGTGTGTGTGTGTGTCTGTGTGCGCGCGCGCACTTCAGGGTGAGTACCCTAAGAGTCCAAAAGTGCACCAGCTCCCCTGGCGCTGGAGCCATCTACCACGAGTACTGGGAATCTAACCAATCATATGCTGCTGTTACAGAGGACCTGAGTTCAATTTCCAGCACCCACATTGGGCATCTCAGAACCACTTGTAACTCCAGCACCAAGGGATCTGACTCCCACTCCTACTACCACTTCCTTTTTTTCTTTTCTTTCTTTCTTTTTTCAGCACGAATCTCACTACATAACCTTAGCCAGTCTAGAACACTATGTAAACCAAACTAACATGGAATTCATAATGATCTGCCTGCCTCTGCCTCCCAAGTGCTGGGATTAAAAGTGTGCACCATCACGACCAGCTCTGACTCTCATGGCCTCTGAGGACACCTGTGCACATACCCATATATAGATACATACACAAAACCAAAAGTAAAATGTCAGGGGTCAGAGAGATGGCTCAGCAGTTAAGAACACATGTTGCTCTTACAGAGAACCGGAGCTAGATTCCCAGCACCTACATGGTGGCTCACAACCCATCTGTGCCTCCAGTTGCAGGCAATCTGACACCCTTTTCTTTTGAACACCAGGCATGCACATGGCACATACACATACATGGAGCCAAAATACTCTCACATATAAAACAAATAAGCCTTTAAAATATTTAAAATAAAATATTAGCCAGGCATGGTGATGCACACTTTTGTTGTTTTTAAGACAGGGCTTCTCTTTGTAGCCCTCGCTGTCCTGTAACTTGCTTTGTAGACCAGGCTGGTCCCATACTCAGAAATTCACCTGCTTCTCTCTCCCAAGTGCTGGAATCAAAGGTGTAGGCTCATTTATGATGCACACTTTTAGTATCATCACTCAAGAGGCAGAGGTAGTTGGATCTCTGTAAGTTCAAGGTCATTCTGGTCCACATATTGAGTTCTAAGATTGGCAAACAAGAGCAATACAGTAAGGCCAAGAGTAAAATGAACCAACAAAAATAAATAATTATTTAAAAGATCACAAGAGTGTGAGCTCAGCAGGGAGATAATTTACAACACTCAATTTTTTGATATATTTATTTTACTTTATGGGTATGAACATTCTGCCCAAATGTTTGTATGTGTACTATATGCAGGCCAGACCAGAGACCAGAGGAGACCAGAGGAAGGATGCAATTTTCAGTGGACTATCTGCTCCCATCATCTGAAAATCCTGCTGTACATGTCCATGATGGCCTGGATTTGGTAGAGTAATTGCAGCCACCGTTCGTTACTGACGTACTGTCTGCCAGGTACTACTGCAAGCACTACCTGAACAACCCTGGGCCATCCTATGAATCACCCCACAGCATGAAGTGACCTGGCATCTTCATGTGACACTGACCAGAGGGGGCTAGCTGTTAGATAAGGGGAAATTCAGGGGCTAGGGCTGGGAAATAAGTTTACAGTTTCCCCCTAAATGGCAGCCATTGCTAGGGCATCTGTCATAGCCAAGATCTGTGAAATGAAGCCATTGTTTAGGAGAGCTGCAAGCTGGGTAAAGGGCGGGCTAGGAGGAAGGAGGGCCTCAGTGCTCAGATGGGGACAGCTGGGTAAGACCTGAGCAGAGCACATAGGAGCTGCCTGCATTTGTCTGGCACGGAGGCCCAGCAAGGTAGTGGGGAAACTGTGGCAGGGTGTAGACTGATATTCAGTCTAGACTAAACTGGACAAGAGTCCACTCTCTGGTGGCTAGAATCTAGATGTAAGCTGAATCTGGGAGGGTAATGGGGTGGTGGTGGGGCTAGTTCTGCTGCCTACTACTGTGATCTTAGGAAAAACATCCTTCAAGACCCGCCGCTGAGACATGAGTGTGCAGCAGGAAAGGGAGACAGAAGAGGATGAAGGCGGTGCCTCAGACACGGCGCCCATGCTACCCCGAAGAAGGTCTGCTGATTACCATAGTTCAGTCGTGGCATCTTGGAGCTGGCCCATCCTGGCCAGCAAAGGCCTCAGGACCCTGTTGCTGTCTGGCCAGGCCCTAGTTGGGTTCCTGGTTCATCTGCTGCTCCCTGGGACAGTCTTCCTGCTGGTGTTGCTGCCAGCAGCTGCCGTTGTCTACCTAGGGTTCCTGTGCCACTCAAGGGTGAGCAGCAGCCATTGGTTAGTCCCTGGGGAGTGGGAATTCTTCGGAGGTCCAAGTCCCTGGGATTGAAGGTGATTCTGCTCTCTAGCCCTGCCCTTTTGTAACTAGAGGCCTCTTCTGCCAGTACCCCTACCAGCTGCAGCTGAAGAAAGGCTTTTGTTTGTTTCTCAGGGAACAGCTGTCTTGCCTCCCAGCTTTGTACCAGGAGGCACCAGGGCCTGGTCAGTGAGGTTGCACCGGGTCGGGAAAATAAACTGTCAAATTTCACCTGTCCTCAGGGTCCCTTATATCCACAGATAGAGCCTTCTGCGGGGTGGATTCAGCCCTTCCACGAACCCTCTTTACCTGGGCTGGGCTTCCCCCTCAATGGCTTGATCTATACATAGGTGGTCCTTATATCCCTTTCTGTGGCTTATGGTGTGGGAGAGAAATGATGCTAGCTCAATATCAGCCATCAACACAGGTAAGGGCTGTGCAAGAAAGCCCCTATGGGGACAGAAAAACAGAGTTGGGAGAGCCAGAGAAGTTCTTTGAACCTTTCCTTTTCTTGGGAGGATGGGGGCTCAAGACAGGGTTTCACTATTGTAGCCTTGGCTGTCCTGGACTCCCTTTGTAGACCAGGCTGGCCTCAAACTCATGAAATATCTGCCTGCCTCTACCTCCCAAAGTGCTGAGATTACAGACCTGCGCCACCACTCCGGCTGCTGAACCACCTAACACACACACACACACACACACACACACACACACACACACACACACCAAAACAAAACAAAACAAAAACAACAACAACAAAAAAACACCTCTCTCGCAATTTGCCCCACCTCAAGGCTTTCCTCTGGACCTTGCCCTAACCTTAGGACGCGCTGGGTTCTTCAAGCCCAGATGTCCCTCACGACTACCCCACGCTGTTGCTCCCCGCCCGACCGCACAACTCCGCTGCCTACAGGTGCATCCAGCCCCAGGCCCGCGGTGCCGAGCGCTGCTCTCCGACCGCGGCTCGGCGGCGCTCATCGTCCTCGGATTCCTCTCGCTGCCGCCGCTTCTGGTGCTGGCCGCGGGCGCGCGCTCGCTCCTGATCCGGCGACTGCGCCCTGTTCTGCCTGGTCCCGCGGGGTCCCCCGAGTCGCACCGGCCGCCTAGGAGCCTCGAAGACCGTGTGCCGGAGGACGAGGAGAAGCAGTTCTGCGCTCGGGTCTGACGCCGGGTCTGACGCCGGCGAGGTCTCTCCGCGCCCAGAACATCCCCGCGGACCCCTTCCCAGAGCCGCGCGGCAGCCTCCAGGCTCTGAGCGCAGTGCTCCAGGTGGCCAGGAGATGGCAACCGGGTCCCTTAGACCCTCGGAGGAAGAAGAGGTGTCCCTCGCAAAGAGCACTGCTACGCTCCCACCTGTGCTCAGCGCCCAGTTTGGCGGATAGCTATGTCCCCCCAAAGCCACGCATAGCTCTAGAAGCTCCAGTGTAGCCAGTAGCAACCAGATTTCATGGCTCATCTTGAGTCCTCCAAAGTCAGCCTGCAACCCTGTAAAGGACAGAGATCAGTTGGGTCCGTAGTCAAACTATTACCAGATCCGCTTTGAGATAGGATCTAGGATCAGTGACTCAGTGTAAGTCCAGGGTCAGCTTGTTGTTTTTAATATATAACTGGGTTTTTTTGTTTTGTTTTTAAGATTTATTTATTTACTTATTACGTATACAGTGTTCTCTACTGCACGTACGCCTGCACACCAGAAGAGGGCACCAGATCTCATAGATGGTTGTGAGCCATCACGTGGTCACTGGGAATTGAACTCGGGACCTCTGGAAGAGCAGCCAGTGTTCTTAACTGCTGAGCGGTCTCTCCATCCCCCTTAATATAAATTTGTTGTAGTAAATATATATATATATAATATATATATATATATATATATGCAGATATTTCACTTACACTGTCTCAGTAACTTCACCATCCATCTCTCACCCCTCCCCCCATCTAATGCTGTCCACCTTAATCCTCGTCATCTGGTCCACCTTCCATCCCTAATCCCACAGTACTTCCTTGTATTCTTCATCTGGGCCTTTCCACACCATTATTGGAGTCCTTTCTCCTAGGCCACGTGGTTTTTACTCCACACTAACTCATCCTGGTATCATCTTCCTTCTATCTTCTTGTGGCTCTCTCTGTCCTCCAAAGTACGGGAACCTTAGCCACGCCTACCCCATTCTGCCCTGCCCAGGTATAGGCTGTTTAATCAACCAATCAGATATGTCTTCGGCAGGTTTACAAAACAAAGATAGGTGTAACCAGTTCTTAAGGGCCCCACATCAGACCAACCTCCAACATATAATCTATTTTTATTTAAGTTTTCTGCATGTATGGCTGTGTAGGCATATCACAAGCCCTGGAACTGGAATTACAGACAGATGTGAGCTGCAATGTGCGTGCTGGGAATTGAACCCGGTTCCTCTGGAAAAGCAGCCAGCGGTCTTCCAGAGGACCCAAACCTATCTCTCCAGCTCCCGGGACTCACCTTGCAATCGGGGTCAGGTTTCAATGTGCACCCAGAACTGCAGCTCATCCTCTGACCTGGGTTCTTTCTTTTGAGACAGGCAGCAGAGTAAGAGCTCAGTTTACAATGTGGGTAAGATTTATCTTTGTGTTTGGCATGCTAAAGTTTTACTAACATGTTCCTATGAATGGATAAATTATCATCCTCCTCCCTGCCTCTTACCTTCTCCTCTTCCTCCTCCTGCTCTCTTTCCTTCTCCTCCTCTTCTTCCGCCTTCCAGGGCTTCATACATACTAGAACTAGAATCTTTTTTTTTTTTCTTAAGTATTCCTGGAACGGAACACCAAGCCTTATACATGTTAGGCAAGCACTCTAAAATTGAGCTATACCCTTAGCCATGGATTTGTTTTTAACTTTAAATTATTTTAAAATTCATTATTTTTTAATTTTACATGTAGATCAGGCTGACCTGAACTCAGAGATCTGCCTGCCGCCTGAGTGCTGGAATTAAAAGCGAGTGCCACAACCTTCCAGCTTATTACATTTTTGTGTGTGTATAGATGTGTGGGTGCCTGTATGTCACAAAGTGTGTGGTGTAAGTCAGAGGAAAACTTTTAGGAGTTGTGGGTCCCAGGGATGGAACTCAGGTTGTCAAGATTGGTAGCAAAGCCTTACCCCTCTAAGCTATCTCTCTGGTCCTTGGTTTGGGCCTTTGTAATGTTTAATTGTTGGGGGGTGGGAGCTTTGAGACATATATGTTCTTGTAAGCCCAGCAATATATTAAAAATATGTGCATTATAATTTACCTGGAATGTATTGGTAACAGATTTTTACATTTTTTAACTTTTGTGAATTTATATAATCCAGGCTGGTCTAGAATTCATAATCCTCCTGCCTCAGCCTCCCATGTACTGGAATTATAGGCATATGTCACCATGCCCAGACCTAAATAGTTTTTAAAGACTCCAGCACACTGTTTTGCCAATATGGCTCAGTCATGGCCAGAGTTTGGCCTATGACCAGGACTGAGTTCATTTTGTGGCCTCAGCAAAGCCCAATGTGTGGCTGGGTCAGGTCTATTGGATGTCTTGTGTGTCTTGAGGCTTTTCAACCTTCATCTGTGTCCAGCTTTGATTCCTTTCTTGATCATACAGAGTGACGGAGCCAGCTGGTCACCAAACTGTCCAGGAGTGCTTCCTCCAGAATGGGGCCGCCTTCCTTCTCCTCCTGCCAGGAGCTGGTGTGGCCGCCCCCAGAGGTTGAAGGGAAAGACTCCCCTGGGAAGCCCTTGGCTGAGGACTGGATCTGCCTGGCCCCACAGTCATCAAAACAACAGCTGGGCTTGGTGGGGGTGGGGAGGTGGCTGTAGGCTGAGTGAGAAACTGCTGTAGCAGCTGCCTCAGACTTTCCTTTTCCGAAAGGTGTTTCCCAGCTTCCCCAGCTCATCCCGGAGCCTTGGGTATCCTCCAGGTGGCCCCAGGAATGTCCAACGGTAGCAGGATGACTTACTTTAGCCCAATCTTCCAGATTCTCTCTCTCTCCCCCTCTCCCTCTCTTTCTTTCTACACGTTTTCTTTCTTTCTCTTTTCCTTCCTTTCTTCCTTTCCTGTCTTTTTTTTTTTTTTTCCTAAGACAGGGTTTCTCTCTGTAGCCTTGGCTATCCTAGACTTGCTTTCTAGACCAGGCTGGCCCCGAACTCACAGAGATCCACCTGCCTCTGCCTCTTGAGTGCTGGAACCTGGCATTCTGGGCATGCTTTCAAAGGAACACTGTGCAGAGCATAGTGCACAGTACCTGTAATATCAGCATTCAGCAGGCTGAGGCAGGAGAATTACTGTGAGTTTGAGGCCAGTCTGTTCTGTAAAATAAGAGTCTATCACAAAACAAAACACCACTGTGCTGTTAGTGTAGCTGGGTATATCCTGGTGTTTATGTGAGGCTAACCAAGCCGTGGCTCCACCCACAGCAGCACACACATAAGGGAATGCTGTGGAGGCTGGAGGAGGGCTGCAGAGGTTAGGGTCTGTATTTAGTGAAGAACAGAGCTGCGCCAGCTGGTAGAGCAGAGTGTAGGTGTTGAGGAGGCAAGCTAGCTCACTATACAACCAGACATAGGTCTGAGGTCACTGTCCCTTTTGGGCCCTCTTCAGAGGTCCAAAGGGGGCCTTCCATTTCTACCACCATCTTGACAAGTCCAGAAAAGGAGGTTTTGGACGGATGGGAAGAGTCAGTCCAATATTTCAGTCACAGCATCTGAGGTGGATCGGCCTTTGCCTAGCCTGAAGTAGTCACTGGCCTTCTGCCTTGGCAGCACCCTGTCTAGATACTGCAAGTGCCTGTCTTCTAACTCTTGCCTAGCATGAGCTCATGACAGAGACCCTGTGCTTTGGAATCTAGGATCCTTCTGTCTTTCGGGATACTCTAGCCTGAAAGCCCAGAGTAGCCCAGTTCTTCTAAGGGCCTTGGTCTCCCACCTCCCCTACAGCTCACCAAGGCAAGATTTAAGCTTTAAGCTTTAAGGTTGGCCAGCCAAGACCTCCACTTCAGGGATGCAGGCTCCCTTCCCAGTAACTGAGGACCTGCCCTATAAAAGGGAGCCTGGCTGGTGTACATGCAGACATGTGTGACTGTGTCCTGTCTGTCCTCCTCTCTTGCTTTGGGTGGGGCATCACCACAGGTAAAGAGACTGGGCTCTGTGAGATTCCTATCTCACTTAGACCATGTGTTCATTCACAAAGTATTTGCAGGCACACCCTCAGACAGAGCCTGCCAGGAGGGGCCCTGGGTTTAGCCAGCTTTGTCCATCCAGTTTCAGGTTTAGGCTTAAGCTCTAGCCTTGCTCCTCTCCCAGGCATTGGGGCTCTGGTAGAGGCAGGAACTAAGCCAGGGGTGGGGTTGAGGAAGCTGAGTAGGAACAGACAGAATGGCTGCTGGGCCGGAGTGCAAAGGCCACTCCTGCTTCTATCAGGTCCCCCTCAAGACTGCTTGGTCCCTCCTTGGGGATGGGGCAGGAAGCTTGGATCACCCCTTACAGAAGCATTTCAGCCAAGACCCAAAGCTGGGGGTCCCGTGTCAGGATGCAGCTGTTCAGCTAGTGGCACATTTGGAGGTTGCAGTCTATCTCTGATGGCTGTTTCCTTAGAAGCATGGAGTCAGCCATCTATAGCCAGCTTCCTGATCTACAAAGCGAGTCTAGAACAACCAATATTACACAGAGGAACCCTGTCTCAAAAACAAAAACAAACAAAAAACAGCAAAATTTCAAAATTCCCGCTATAGCCATCCTTGCCTCACCCCAACCCTTTCAAGCCCCTCCTAGTACTCAGATGTCCATCATCCTCCCTGTGGTCTCAAAGTTACATAGCCTGGCTTGCTTCCTCTGTCCTAGGCCAAGCAATCTGCCATGTGCATGCTCTCCCACTCACAGCCCTCCAGGTCTTGACACTTACCATTGCCTCTGCTTGTGAAACTTTCTCTTCCTGTAGCTCCTACCACAGTGTCCCCACTGATTCCATGATCTCACACAACTAAATCTTTTCAGGGAAATTAGTAGTCCTGTGTATTAGTTACTTTTGTATAGCTATGACCACAATAGACAACTGACACAAACAATGTACTGCACTAGAGATGCAGGCAAATTTCTGAGTTCGAGAACAGCCTGGTCATAGAGTGAATTCCAGGACAGCTGGGGCTACACAGAGAAACCCTGTCTCAAAACGCCCTCCCCCCAAAAAAAGATTTGCTTTATCCCAAGGTCTCAAAGAGTTTCTGTACATCGTGGAGGGGTAGGCATGGTTCAGATCACAGCAATGGAACGTTCTTCATAGTACAGCAGACCAGGAAGCAGTAAACAGCATCACAAGTCGGTGGCTGTGATGCTAAAGGCCTTCCTTCCCCCCGTGCTATTGCTACCAGCTAGGCATACCCTCCTAAAGGTTCACAAACTCCTAATGTTTCATGAACTCTCCCAAAATACCACTAGCTGGAGAAAGAGGGCTGGAAGTATGTATCTGGGGGATCATTTCAGATTCCAATCATGACACCGAACATCTTTGTGAGCATGGAGCTTTCTTGTTCGGTCCTTATCTGGCAGTACTAGAGGACAGGGCTTGGCCCAGTGCCTTGTGTCCTCTGTGCAGAGACTGAGGTGATGTGCTGGGTAAATAAAGGAGAGGGTTGTATCCATACCATGCTCTGGCTGTTCACCAAGCCTTTTCCATCTTCCCTGCCACTTTAGCTGCAAGGAAAGTGGATTCAGGTCAGTTCCGCAGGCTCTGGCACCTACCTTTCCAAAGCTGGTGTGGAAGAAAGTATAATAGAGAGCAGGAAGGCGCTGAGGGACCTGTTGCTCTTGGCTGCTCCTTGACTGCTGTGAGGTAGTGTCATAGGGTCCAGGCTCACCCCATTCCTCTGCCACAGGCCTCCAAAAGTTGCGCCCAACATTTTCTGTTTTCGTGTTCTGATATGTGCTCGGGTTTTCATGTGAGATATGAACAACATAACAGGCTAGGTGGTGGTGGTGCAGGCCTTTAATCTCAGCTCACCGGAGCAGATCCCCGTGAGTCTGAGGCTTAGTCTCAGAGGGCAGCCAGGGCTACACAGAGAAACTCTGTCTCAAAAAAAGTGACACTTCGGAACATCTCAGCCTGGTGGACATGGGAGAAGTTTCCCCCAGCACCAGTCCTGGTTAGCTTTAACCTGATTCAGCGCAGACTCATCTGAAAAACAAGCCTCAGGGGAGGGATCCCCAGATCAGGCCGGTCTGTGGGCATGTCTGTGCGAGATTGTTTTGTGTGTTAACTCATGCAAAAGGACCCGGCCCACTATGGACTATAGCATTACTTCAGCAAGCAGTCCCCAGCTGTGTGAGAAAGCCAGCCAGCATGAGGCAGTGAGCAAGCCAGCAGTGTCCCTCCATGAAAAAAACCAAACCAAACCAAACCAAAAAAACCCATGATAAACAGCAGCTCATAGTTAGGGTGCAGGGGGGCAAGGGTGGGGCAGGCAGCTCTGTCCTCGCCTGGGGTCAAGGGTCAGGTCAGAGGCCCCAGGAGCTGCCCTTTTCCCTGGGGTTGAGTATGACCACAGCCATCCTTAGACAAAAGGCCCTTCTTCTCTGCCTGACTGTGGGAGGAAAGGAACATTCCCTTTGGTCCTTGGTTGGAGGCAGGGCACTGTGCTAAGAGCAGTGTCTCTGGCTTTCAGGAAAAGCTCTCCACCTGCCTGCAGACAGACAGGGCAGGCCAGTTCCTCCAGGAAGTGAGGCACAGGGACTCCTTGTCCTGAATTAACGCTATGAGGGCAGGATAGATTTAGCATCGAGGGCTGTCCTTCCTCTTGGGTTCCTAGATTGACATGAATAGTCAGGGCCAGTCCTTGGAGTCTGAGGACTAAGGGGTCAAGGTCACCCGGCATGGCCCATCTTTGCCTGTGCCTACATTGCTGCCCCTTCCCCTCTCATGAGCCTGTCTCCCTCTAGAGAAAAAGTTTCTGGCATGTTCTCTTTGTGCTTCCTTTGGTGTCTGCCTCAAGCCTAGGCCTGACCTTGACCATTGATTGTACTTCTGTCTGGCTCCATATCCTTTAGAGTGTCTGTGTGTCTTCCGGAGGTGGAGTGTACTGCAAAACAAAAGGACAAGATTTTTCTGGTGGCTTAGCAGGGGGGTAAGGATGATGGGAAGGCTCTCCTAAGGAATTGGCCATGGCAGCAACACAGCCTGAGCTCAAGTCAGGCTGGTAGCCCAGCTAGGAGACGGCTGGGTGGAGACTGGGCCTCCTGTGCCCTCTCCATCTGATGAAGAGGCCAGAAGAAGGAGGGTAGCTTTCTTAAAGGGCCTGAGTCACAGCCAAGAAGACCTGCTCATTTTTTCCAGAAGGGATGGAAACAGGGCAGGCTGAAGTGTGAGGGCTATGAGCCTCTGCTCCCTCCCAGACCCAGCTCCCAGGCAGAGCAAGCTTGAGGTAAAATGGTTCTGTTGGATCCCCATATTCCCTACTTGTTCACAATACTGTCTCCTCAGCAATCCTGTGTATTGGGATCTGAAGGTTAGCTGGTGCCCCTGGGTGACACACTCTTTGAGGGACTCACACACTGTTCCCATCCTCAAGACTCAGGCAGAAGCATCAAGCACTTTCTGGTCCATTCAGAGGCCTGAGGTCTGTGGAGTGAAGCCAACACCCAGTGCCAAGATTCCCTGCAAGGGGGTGGGGGATGGCAGCAGGACATAGCTCTTACTTGTTCCTGCAGCAAGCTTCTCAGACTCAGAAGCTGTATTGCTTCCTTTTTTAGGCAAAGCCAAGCTCAGGCACAGTCCTCAAGGCCCCGAAGTCTCTCACCTGCCAGAAATGGAGGAAGGAAAACCATTGAGTCCCATCCGTCCTCCCTGCTGAGCATCCTCTTGCCAAGGGTGGGAAGGGAGGGGACATCCTGCCAGACAACACCCCCCTCCCCAATGCGTGCCTCCACCCCAAACACTATAATTACTCTACAGAAGCATCTCAGGAGTCTGCAGTCTGTGCAGCCCTCCTGAGGGATTCAGGGTTTTCTGGATAACACTTGTAGCCAGTCTCCTTTGGTTTGGGCTTGGCACTGATGAAGGACCCAGCTCTGGATCATCAGTCTCTGGTCCTGCTGGAGTCTGATCTGGGAATAGCCCTTGGCCCCATTTGGGTAAGGTATAGGGCAGCAATAGGCCATCGTGGCCACAAAGGATAGGTTCTGACTGTCTGACTTCCCCTTATCCTTATGTCTTTTCCCTTAAGAATTCGGTTGAGCGTTCTGGCAATGTTGGGGGCTTTACATTCTTTAAAAAGCTTTTCATATGTTCCTATCTCCTAAAACGGTGAGTGTCCTTGGCTGGACATGGTGGTGCATGCCTGTGATCCCAGCACTGAGGGAGACAGAGGCAGGTGGATCTCCGCAAGTTAAAGGTCAGCCTGGTCTACAAAGTGAGTCCAGGACAGCCAAGACTACACAAAGAAACTCTGTCTCAAAAAGCCAAAAAAAAAAAAATCAGTCTTTAGAGAAAACCGGTTGCTCCTCCAGCTTGTAGCCAAGCTGAGTTGTTGAGAGGAGGTTACTTCTTTGTATAGCCCCAGCTTCTAAGGCTCTCTTATTTCTGTCTTCAGGAGCTTTGCAGATTAGGAACTGTGGGGAGCTCCCAGGGGTAAGGGAGAGGAGAGAGGTAGAGAATATGGACCACACATTGTCACAGCCTGTGAAAGTGAGATGGGAATGTTTGTTAGCGCATGCCCACACCTATGTGCCTTTGCGGTTGCTGCGTGTCACCACAAGTCCGGGACCGCTGTGGCACGTACCATTGTGCAGTCGGTGCAGATTGGCCTTTGCGCGCCGGTCTGAGTGCACGCGCCTCCCGAGCAAGGGCGTGGCCGCGAGAGTAGGTGTGGCTTCCCAGAGGTGGGTGGGCCTGCCTCGCGGTAGGAGAACAAGTTAGCGGCCAGCTGTGGTCAGGAGCCCGCCACTCCAGGCGCGATGCTGTTCTGGACTGCGCTCAGCTTGGCTTTGAGTCTGCGGCTGGCACTGGCGCGGAGCGGCGTAGAGCACAGTAAGTGTGGTGGAACCCGGATTGCGATTCCTGACAGCCCACCGGCTGCTGCCCACCCGGGTCAGGAACTGTCCAGGTGCAGCAGCGGGACGAGTGGGCGGGAAGGCCGCGGGAGGGGCACACGCCAGCACCTCAGCCACCTGCAGTGGGCGCTCCTGGGCATTCTTGGTAACTCAACTGAGCCAGCCGCTGGACAAGGAGCGCGGAGGCCTGGTCTGCCCCGCCCCGCCCCGCCCCTCAGGCCTCGGTAGTGGAGAAAGATTTTTGAGAGGCCTCCCTGACTCAGTTTCCTTACCTCTGAAAAATCCCTCAGTAGAAAGGAGGTAGAAGATTGGAATGGCCTCACCATGAGGGAGAAGTCCCAAAGCCAGGACTAGATCCAGGCACTTGAAAGCCCCTGCCTACTTGAGACTAGGTGACAGAGTCTCTTCAGTACCTCCGTCCTCTAGGCTGAAGAGAAAGGGATAAAAGGGAGGCTCACTAGACATTGATTGGGTCCTCAGGCTGTTGCGGGTGGGTCTGTCCTCCTTTCTTGGTACAGACGACACAGAGGCAGGGAGGGGTGATGTTATCTGTGACTGGGGTCAGTACTCCAGCCTGGCCATCTGATGGGCACGAAGGACTGTTCGGTATTTTGCTCTCCTTTCCTCTCCGTTGTCCCCATTGCTGGTCATGTTCAGAGCCTATCCCTTCACCTGGACGCTGAGCCACCCCCCTTAACTATCCTGGAGGTGGCCCTTCTGAAAATCAAGCCTAAGGGGAGCAATGCATATGGGTCGGGCCCCTCCTGGAGACCTAGGCCTGAACTCTTGACTCCACCTGCACGCAGTGTCTGTATAAAGAACATGAGGGCAGCCCAGGATGCTCTTGGTATATGGCCATTGTACAGCTGGAACCATTGGAAAGGATGGGACTTTTGTTGGCTTGGAACCTTTGGGGGTGGTTCAGCTCTGGGCATTGGGCTTTCGGGGGAGCTACCTGGACTGAACCCCTTGTCTTTTCCTCTAGGTACCACACCATCAGCCCCACAGGGGGACCTGCTGTTCCTGCTGGACAGCTCAGCCAGTGTGTCACACTATGAGTTTTCAAGAGTTCGAGAATTTGTGGGGCAGCTGGTGGCTGGAATGCCTTTTGGACCCGGGGCTCTGCGTGCTAGCCTGGTGCATGTGGGCAGTCGGCCGTATGCAGAGTTTACTCTTGATCAGTACAGTTCAGGCCAGGCTATACAGGATGCCATACGTGCTGCGTCCCAACGTATGGGTGACACCAACACGGGCCTGGCACTGGCCTATGCCAAAGAACAATTGTTTGATGAGGTAGCAGGTGCCCGGCTAGGGGTTCCTAAGGTACTGGTGTGGGTGACAGATGGGGGCTCCAGTGACCCCGTGGGCCCCCCTATGCAGAAGCTCAAGGACCTGGGCGTCACCGTCTTCATTGTCAGCACTGGCCGAGGCAACCTGTTAGAGTTGTTGGCAGCTGCCTCAGCTCCGGCTGAGAAGCACCTACACTTTGTGGACGTGGATGACCTTCGTATCATTGCCCCAGAGCTTCGGAGCAACATAGCTGGTAGGTGGGAAGAGGCAGGGCCTGTGAATCCCTAGCTGACAGCTAGCTGCAGGGGGAGCACCTGGGTTGAGATCAGGAGCAACTCCTGAGCCTGATTCCCTGAGGTTGCAACAGTGGGAGGCGACTCACATGTCCTCTGCATACTGTGCAGGACAAACTCCTTCATGTACCCTGACACCTGGGCTATAGACACACCCAAGTCTGAGTGACCAATTTAAGACCCCAGGCACGTATAGGACATCGAACTGAGGGCTAATTAGGGCGAGGTATGTGTGGAAGGGCTAAGTACAGAGGATAAAGGAGGACCAAGGGGGGTCTCTGTCTATGGCATCATATACTTTTGTATCCAGGACCAAATAGCTTGCCAGGCCCACCATTCCTGGAGAAAGGAGAATCAACTAGGTAGGGACTGTCTCCTACAGAGCTCAGGCCCTACCGATTCCATGGTAGGGAGCCACAGTCAAGGAGGAGTTTGAGCTGGTTTTTACTCCTCTTCATTGTGGGGACTGCTGGGGAAGCCAGAGCAAGGAAGACCCACTGTCGGGCCTAAGCACCAGCTTTCTTCTGGACCTCCTACAATAGTCTCCTAGGGAGAAGAGGCCACAGACTAAGGGCCTTTTGGTCGGCTTAGCCAATCGTAGACACAGAAAAATGCTCTCTCTCCAGGGTACCATTCTTACCAACACTGCCTACACTAAAGAGGAAGGAGTTGGTCTGTGGATTGGAGAAAAGTGAAAGGTCTGCTGAAAGGGGTCTCCTGCAGAAATGCCCTGGTAGCTCTTAGGCCAATAGGCCCAGGTGAACCTGGAGGCACAGAAGGAGAAAAGGCTGCAAGATAAACATTTGATTCTAAGGTCAGAATCCGAGTGGGAGGCTGGACAGGAAAGTGAGTGTCCAGCTGACTAAACTTAGCACTTAGCAGCAGCAAGAAAGTCAAGACCTGGGCGACCTCCCCGCCTTACCTGCATATTGATCTGGTGGCTGGCCGTGTTTGTCGTCATAGCCCAGGAGCCCTTTGTGGTGGCCCCCCCTCTTGTGTAGGAAGGTCCCTCTCTCCTCAATCTTAGGTTCTGGGCTTGTCACATTTCCACTGATCCAGGGTCCACTAACACGGAGTCTCCCATCTCCGGGCTGCAGCTTCTGGTCTGCTCCCTTCCCCCACAACTGTTCAGAATATGGCTCACAGTAGATTTTGAGCTGACCACCCAGTCTTGGGGGACCGGTTCTCTGTTCTTAGATAACACTGTGGCCATTGCAACTGAGGGACCTCCATCCAGGTTGTTTGTCTGGATAAGGAGTAGCCACTCTATCTGACAGATCTGGGTTTGGGAGTGAAGTGGCAGGGAAGTTTATGATGGGGACTGTACTCTTCTGTCCTTCCACCGGCCCAGTCAGCTTTGTAGTCGTTAGCGTTTGCTGGTAGCAAATACCTGCCTGGCTCCTGCCTCTCCTGTTTTACCGGGGCTCCAATCTCCAGGTCCTCTCCAGATCAGTGAGAGCCCCCCTCGGTGATATGGAGAAGGCCACTTCTGTTCCCTGACCCCAGCACTACACCATCCTTAGATGCGATGCAGCCTCAGCAACTTCATGCCAAGGAGATTCTGTCCAGTGGCTTCTCCGTGTCCTGGCCGCCCCTGCTGACAGCAGACTCTGGTTACTACGTGCTGGAGCTGGTGCCCAGCGGCAAACTGGTAACCACAAGACGCCAGCAGCTGCCCGGGAATGCCACGAGCTGGACCTGGACCGACCTCAACCCGGACACAGATTATGAAGTATCGCTGCTGCCCGAGTCCAACGTGCGCCTCCTGAGGCCCCAGCACGTGCGAGTACGCACGCTGCGAGGTGAGGCAGGGCACCTCGTGGGAGGGGAGGGTGGCATGCGAGGGGCACCCCTCCACTCAACCACTCCCTTCCTCCGCAGAGGAGGCTGGGCCAGAGCGGATCATCATCTCGCATGCTCGGCAGCGCAGCCTCCGCGTAAGCTGGGCCCCCGCGCTTGGCCCGGACTCCGCCCTCGGCTACCACGTACAGCTCGGGCCTCTGCGGGGCGGCTCCGTGCAGCGCGTGGAGGTGCCGGCTGGCCACAACAGCACTACCATCCAGGGCCTGGCGCCGGGTACCGTTTACCTGGTGACTGTGACTGCCGCCTTCCGCTCGGGCCGCGAGAGGGCACTGTCGGCCAAGGCCTGCACGGCCGCTGGCCAGCGGACCCGTGTCCCGCAGGAGCCATGAACTGCCTGCCTGCCTGCCTGCCCGAGGGTCCCTCTTCCCTAGCCCGGTGAGAGAGGCGCCGCCGCTGCTGAAACCGAGGTTTTTCTCGTGGATGGGGTGGGATGGGGAGAAAGGGTGCCGCTCCTGCCTTTGACCCGCGTAATTCCTCCGGTCGTTTCTCTCCTGATCATCCCGGACGGCACCCTCTCCTGACTCCCTGGAAACCTGTGGCAACCCTGGTAGTTGAACGCGCAATGGCGATCCTCTCTGGTTGCCAGTGGGGTTGAGCACACAGTGGTGTTTGGACAAAATTTGGGGGAGATGGACAGTGTCTGAGGTCAGGTTGAAGACTTAAGACCCGGGACCAGCGTTCAAGAGAGGAGGCCACAGGGTTGCCTATCTGTGCCAAAGGTTGCACCCGCTGGTGACAAGGACTCCACGTGGCTTGGACGTCCTGCCTGTTCGTATAAAATGGGTGGGAGAGAGGAAGGAGAGGCTGGTGTAGGCAGGATTCCCAAAGACTTCCTGAGGGAAAGGAAAGATACAGATAGGAAGGGATACTGGGAGTCTGATGATGTTGCCAAGTATTTTCATCAAGATTTTCTGCCAGCCTGAATACCAGTATCTGTCAGGAACACTGGCCCTTCCTGCCTGGCCAGGACCTGCCCTGGGCCCTGCTATCAGTGCCTGGGATGCAGTCTTTTCACCGGAATGGGGAGAGACATTGGGGATAGGAGAGCCATGCCATGACAGGCTCTAAGGGAACCTGTTCCTGTTTTAGTGTGGGGAGCTGCATAGAGGAACAAACGATATTCTCCAGGATCGGCGCACTCCAAGTCCTCTAACCCCAAGGTGTCACGCCGGTGGGCTATCTCCAGTCATCACCCTGGGCTTCCCACAGAGAGCTGAGGGTGGTCAGGAATAGGCTTCCTCTCAAGTCTTAGGAAAGACCCTCTCCTCCCAGAATCACTTGCCCTAACCAAGCTCACGTCATCTGTCTTCCCCACTAGTGACCCAGAATCTAACAACACAAATAATTCAGATATAAACTGTGCCTGCAGTCTCATTAAAATGCTTTATTTTTCATCAGAACTCTGCCCAACTGTGTACCTGTGTGGGCAGCATGAAAGGTCGGGTGTACAGGTCTGTTGTGTCTGGGGTCGAGGGGAGGAAAGTCTGCAGCATCTGCGCACGGATCATCTGGACTTCTTTCCCGCCATGTCCTTGCCATCCCTCTGTGTGCCAGGGCCTCACTTCTGCATCCCAGGATCCACTGGGGTAGGTCAAATGGCTGCTGTTATAACTCAGAGGCCTGGGGGCCTGGCTTTACAGAGCTGTCCTCATTACTGCCTGTGGTCTGCTGCCCACTGCTCAACCTCTGCTTACATTTTCTCCTCACACTACTTTGGCTACTCTAATGAGGCCCAGGAACTAAGTATTGAGAGAGGTGGGTGGGCCTTGGGCTGTGCATGAGCTGAGCAGAGGGGCCTTTCCTGAGAACTTGCCTGTCACCGTTTCCCAAGAGCCTGGGGGGGGGGGTGTGGAGAGATGGCTCAGTGGTTAAGAGCACTGGCTGCTCGTCCAAAGGTCCTGGGTTCAATTCCCAGTACCCACATGGCAGCTCACAACTGCCTGGAACTCTAGTTTCAGGAGAGTTGACACCCTCTCTCTCTCTCACACATACAAGCAGAACACCAATGTACATAAAATAAAAAAATAATAATAAACCATTAAAAAAAAGCCTGAGTGGGCACTGTAGGCCTAACCCTAGACGCCCAAAGGGGCACACTGCCCATGTCCTGGATGTGTTGTGCATTTGTGGGAGGCAGCTACTTTTGTGTTGGCAGCTTAAGATACAGGGCCTGGCCTGCTGTGGAGGGATGAATTCCCTCTCCATGCCTCCTTGTCAGGCCCAGGAAGCCTGTGTGAGCACCTGCAGGCTTCGTGTCCACACCCTTACCTATTTATCAGTAGTTGGCTATGGAGCCAGATTTCCTCTGACCTCAGTTACCAATCCAGAGTCTGAGGCTCTCTGTATCCAGGATAAAGACTCTGGTCTGTCATGTGGGCTCCACATCTCCCTAGAATACAGAAGTTCCTCCAAGCAATTTGTGTTTTCCATTCTGTTCTCAGATGACTGTGGGTCCAAGTCTATTGGTTGCAGGAGAGAGCCACACTGCGTCCCCAGGCCTGACTTACAGGTGACAGAAGAGTACCAGAGGGTCATTTACTAGTGTTGATGACAGTGACTGCTAATGGCTGAGACTCATGAGGCTCTCAGTGAGCAGAGTTATTCAGCATCACATGCTGCACCTGGGAATGTGCCTGTCTGGGGTGTAACCAGATCTTGGGGCCAGTACTTAGGATTAAGAAAAACATCACCAGACCAGTCCCCAACATGTGGTGGAGGTGAAAGCCCGGACTCCCTCCTAGGTAACACAGACTGCTGCAGTCCTGAGCTCGGAGGGGCTGCCCTTACATGTCCTAGGCATGTCTTAAGCCTCTGGATTTAGTGCACATTTCAGATTGGTTCAGGCCCTGAGAAAGTCTACAGAAAACAGGTTTTTAAGCTTTTCATTTAGTATGGTGTGTGTGTGTGTGTGTGTGTGTGTGTGTGTGTGTGTGTGAATGTGGGAGGTATACACACACCATGGTCCACATATGGAAGTCAGAGACAACTTTATGCAATTGGTCCTCTCATTCCACTTTTACATGTATTCCAGGGTTTAAACTCCACTTGCCAGGCTTGTATGACAAGCCTTTATCTGCCAAGGCAGCCTGCCAGCTCTAGGAAAAATATTAGTGGGGTGAGATTTTCCTACGAGCTGTTTGCCACACACAATACCTCCTCCCTGTGTTCCTCTGGCCTCAACTCTGCAGTGTAAGGGCTCTTTTGGGTTGCTTCTGGTTGAGAGCCAAGCAAACTCAAGCATCTAGGAAGCTTGTGGGACTGAGTATCCAATCCTGGATATTATGAGGGGACCCTGAGGGGAGGCTGCTTCGAGTGCTAACACCATGTGCTTGTGGCCATTTCACACTGCAGAGGGTGGTCGTGCTGAGACTGGCACCCTCTTCTTTTTTAAAGATTTATCATGTATACAGTGTTCTGCCTGCACATATACCTGCACACCAGAAGAGGGCACCAGATCTCAATATAGATGGCCTCGGGGGCCACCTCTTCTCTCAACCTTCGGGTTTGCGGTCTCATGCCGGTGACCCCGCGACTGTTTGCCCTCACCGGAGGCATCTCGAGTCCGGAAGGGGTCAGCTCCGGGAGCCCCGCCACCTCCTTCAGGTGTTCCCTTCCTCTTGTGCAGTCTGGGTCGAGGCTCACAGAAGGGCTCCGACCCTGCGTGGTGAGGGTCCCGTGTCTCTCTGATCTTCCGCAGCCACGATGGGGCGTCTCCATAAATGCCTACAGCAACAGACACACATTTCTGAACGACCCCCAGACCCACAACAACAGCACCTTTGCTAACAGCTTTCTAGGACGGAGGCACACCCACCCCGAAAACTTCGTTGCTAGGTGCCGGGTCCAGGAGCCTGGTACAGCTCCGCCTCCTTAGGCAGCTAGGCAAACCGCACCAGCTGCGCGGCCAATCCAACGCCTGAGAGCGGTTTGGCCGTCGTGAGTTTCCGTCCTTTAGGAGGAAGCGGTGTGTGTCGCGCCTGCGCAGTTAGTCGCACCCGCGGCGCGTGTCGACTGCTCGTTGCTCCGCGAGTCACGCTTGAGCCCCGGCTCCTGAGCGCGCGCGGCGCTGGTGCACCATGTCGTGGCTCTTCGGTATCAAGGGCCCTAAGGGCGAAGGCACAGGCCCTCCGCTGCCCTTGCCGCCCGCGCAGCCCGGGGCGGAGGGTGGCGGCGACCGTGGTGCGGGCGACCGGCAATCGCCCAAGGACAAATGGAGCAACTTCGACCCGACAGGCCTGGAGCGTGCGGCCAAAGCGGCGCGCGAGTTGGAGCACTCCCGTGAGTGCGCGGGCTGGGCTTGGCGGGCCGAGGCCCAGGAGAATGGGAGGCGCCTTTCAGAGGCACCAGCTGATCTTCCGAGTTTGGTTCTCTTGGTGTGCTAGAGGTGCTCAGCTGGCTGTCTACAGCCCTACCTTTCAGGTGACCTGAACGGCCGGGGATTTTTTTAGCCAAACGTTCTGCGTTTGGGAGACCCAGGTCCTGATACCCTCTTGTGCTGGCAGCTATCAGGGCGCAGGAGAGGCTGTTTTAGAGAGGTCTTTAGAGGCGCGGATTGCCTATGCCAATGCTGTCCTTCGTTACTTCTGGGCTGGCCCTATTGCTCCCTCCACGTGGGGCAGGCCAAAAACCATGGCCAGGTCAGGTGATCCTAGGTTGTGGTGGTTAATAATAATCTCTTACTTAATAAGGGGAGCGTTTTTGAAAGGTGTTTGGTTTTAGCAAGAGAGTAAATAGATTTTGTAATATATACAATGTTCTGTCTGCATGTACACCTGCACACCGGAAGAGGGCACCAGATCTCATTATAGATGGTTGTGAGCTACCATGTGGTTGCTGGGAATTGAACTCAGGACCTTTGGAAGAGCAGCCAGTGCACTTAACCTCTGAGCTGTCTCTCCAGTCCCTAGTTTGCTGGATTTTTTTTTTTTTTTTTTTTTTTTTTACAAGACTGTGTAGTCCTGGCTGGAACTCATGTAGACCAGGCTAGCAGACAAATCACAGAGATCCACCTGTCAGTGCCCCCTGAGTGCTGGGATTGAAGGCATGTGCCTCTATGCCCAACTAGTTGAAATCTTTAAAAGCCTGAAATAGGGAGCTGGAGAGATGGCTCAATGGCTAAGAGCACTTGTTGCTATTGCAGTGGACCTGTGTTCAAGTCTGAGCACCTATATAGCAGCTCACAACCTTCTGTAGCTCCAGTTCCAGGGGATCCAAGGACCTTTTCTGGCTTCTGAGGGTACCAGGTATGTATGTGGTGCACATACATACATGCAGGCAAACACTCAAGTACATTAAAAAATTTTTAAAGCCTGAAATGTAGGAGGTGTTGAATAAATACTGATTGAAGGAATGTTGTTATTCTCAATTTTATGTTAATGCATGGTCCTGTTTTTCAATATAGGGAAGCCCTAATTTAAATAGGTATAAGATGCAGAGCCTCTCAGCGAGAGGGTCTGGCACTTGGTGAGTCAGTTCTCTGCTTTTGTGGGGCTACAAAAATGCCTTGAACCTTGAGTAGGGAGTGGTGGCTCATGCCTTTAAGTCCAACATTTGGAAGGCGGGGAAGACGGATCTGAGTTTGAAGCTGGACTGGGCTACATAGTGACCAGGCTGCCAGGCCAGCCAGGGTGCACAGTGAGACCCTATCAGGTCTTGGGCAGTGGTCTCTGAGTACTGCAGACTCAAATCCCCATAGAGACATTCAGAGCCTTCAGATTTGGGACAAAGATCACCTGTCTCTTGAGGCCAAGCAGAGCTAATAATTTTTGGTAAAGAATCTGTTATCTTTGCTAGATAATCTCAGTGATTAGGTTGAAATGAGAAAGCGTGGCTGGTTTTCAAGGCATTTCCATTGTTAGAAGACTTGACAAGATGATCCAGTGTCCTGTTTCAGGGTGTGTAGGAATCCTTCTTGGTAACTCCTAGGTTGGGGAGATCACTCTCTAGCCACACCTAGAATTTCAGAGTTGAATCTTGGCTATTAGTCCCACTACTATAGGCTGTCACAGAGGATGGGGAGCCCTTCCGGCCCTTTGCTAGACCCTGACTACTTGTGCATGTAAATTGCTCTCCTGCACTGGCAGTACTTGGGCTCTTGCCTGGAACAGTCCCACCGTGGGTTCAGTGTCTTGGCCTCTACTCTGCTTTAACAGAGCTCTCTTTTCTGAGCCAGCAACATCTTCTGTGAGTTCTGCGTGGCCACTCAGTGTCCTTCTCTTGTAAGGTAGTCTCAGATGGGCACTAAACCTCTTCTGTCTCATTTCACAAGAAAATGGACTCAAAAGAAGTTCATTCTCTTTTGGCTGAGCTTGCTAAAGCCACATGGAGAATAAACAGAGGAGCTGGGACTTGCCCCCCCCCCCCAGCTTTGTTGGACTGTGACACCTCCATTCCTGTCTAC